AGGTGCCACAATTATACAGAAACCTACACAGAAAGAGTTTTTGTGGTGATTCACCTCAGAAACTCTTTCTGCGGTAATCACCAAAGAAACCTAACAAAACCAAAATCCCAAATGTGTGGAATATTTGGCAAAATTGTGGAATTTTGACAGAATCTGTGTGTAAATTATGTCAACACCATTGGCAACACTGCTGTTATAACAGAACAAGATTTTTATAGGTTATACGTGTAAATACAGTGTGTACATTTTATGATTAAGGGTATGTACTTACCTACAGAATACATTTTCAATTGCATACAAAGTTTGTAAACTTATCAGTTATTGTCACAACAAACGTTTTTTAAAAATATATCGCGTGTGTACCACGTCTTACGGGATGCGTATTATTGTTTAGGATAAAGGAATTGCAAAAACGATTCATAGTGTCTTGAATTAATCGGTTAGAAAGACGATTATGAGCACCATAAAACTCACGAAATGCCCTATGTGTTTCCCCAATTTAACCGTTTTTTTTTTCAAAATAAATTTTTTCAAATTAAATTTGCCAAACCAACCTAACTCAAATCGGATGTCACAGAAAACAGTGTTGCCAATTTAAAGTTGTCCAATTTTTAAAAAAACACCCTTTAATATAATAAAAAACCTGTCTTTATTCTAACTTCTAGTAGCCTATTGGTAAAAAAGGGGGAAAAATGTGGGCTCCTGATTCTCAAAAACCTATACGTCAGGGGCGGCTAGTGAATAAGGGCTGCAGAGCTGCAGAACTCCCAAAATTTTCTTATTACTTGACTAATTTTTTAATTATTTAATATTTAAGTGCGACAGTGTATGAATATTTCAAACGCATGGCTGCATAAAAAGTTTTTATTATAAACATTCGCCGTACTTGGCCACTACAGTCATCCAAACGACCGGTAAAGGTCTCTAACGCTTAACGCTTACAATACAATAAAGCTGGGCCACTTTCGAGTTCTGGCTCCCATTTCAATACCGTAATTTTTCTCCGCGCCGCTCTTGGTCCTAGGTTTAGATAGTGAAATTTAAGCCAAACCGGAGCTGCACCAACATACAGTTCCTACTTCCCGGTCGTTTGTTTTTCGCTTCGCGTTCACGTTTGTTATTTTAACTAGAAGACTGTTAATTCGGTGTATTTTTGTGTTTATTGTTGCATGCACTGCCCCACATTTTTTTAAACCCACTGGCAGAACTCACAAATTTTACTGCCACGAGCCGCCACTGCTATACGTCATCTGTACTATAATTTTTCTAAAAAATACTATAATTAAATTGAGAAAATACTATAATGTGCATCTCAAGAGTTGGCAACCCTGGGTGTATGTATCTTGGTGGGATTGTAAAGCAGTTAGAGGAGGGGAAGTAAAACATTGGCGGACGTTTAGTTGTTTTGATTTAATCGTTTTAAAATCTTGTACTGCACGCTTATGGCAGAGGGGAAATAAATATTTCGTTATCCTATTCGTTCAACAATGGTTGTGTGTCTCTCTTATTTATACGTTTATCTCACTTATTCGTACGTTTCATATAGCATGCATCTTTGTTTATTAAACGGCCTAAAAGCCCATTACCATCCCTGTATAACACTGGAAGTGTAAACAAACACGATGTGTGGCTTTAAGATTTGTTTTGACAGTTGTTCGGTGTTTGGTATTGTTTTGAGTGCTTTTTATTTTACTATTAATCAAATATTAGATAAGTCGATAATACCCACAATTTTTTAACTTTAAATTTGAATTTAACAATAATAATACTTAAGTATTCAGTTAACACATTTTCTTAGATTTTCCTTTAAACTGCTTTGCCACTGTATGGTACATCTTGGAGACACACAAACGCAATGATTTTGACACACATTACGTGTCCAGTGTTATAAGGTCTAAGGGATACCCTATAATTTTGAAATATTTAAATTTGTAATATTTTTAACCGCCGGATATCCGAATATCCGGATTTGAACCTTGCCGGATATCAGATAAATAAATTGAATTATTCAAAAACTATAGGGTAAAGGAAGATGAGGGCAGCACCAAATCTTACCAAATCTCACCGAGTGGGAGGGAGGGTTCAAGTTAAATAAAACACATTGAGCAACTAATGGACTCTCTCCCAGGGACCCGGACCCAAATGAAATAACGGTTCCGGTCCGGTTCCGGTTCCGAGAGAAACGAGAAATTTCGGTTCAGGTCCAGTTACGGTTCCAAAAAAAATATTTCTGTCCGGTCCGGACCAATCTTTTCGGTCCATACGGTTTTTTTCGGTTCCAATTTTTTTACTAGGTGTAAATAAGTACTTAAATTATAAAATTAAAAGTTTATTAATTTTTTTTATTTTTTTTTGGCAAGTAATTAAATAAAGTATTACTTTGTCTCTTCTTATCTTTTAAATGAGGTTCTCTAATTTTAGGGTCTTCATTATCTTCTTTATTTTTATTATCGATCGGCTGGCTTTCTTTATTTTTTTCTTCTGATCTTGTGATTGAGAAACTAGAAAATTTATAATTAAAATAAGTTATATAAAAATAAAAAAACTAAACTTAGAGCTTTTGTTCTTCTTTCTTACAAAATGGCGCGTCTTTCAATTACTTGTATGGACATTTTTCACATACTTCGATGCTGCCATATGTAAGCAATTTCACTAACATGTCATTGACATGATGTTAGTCATAGTTGTTTTGCATGGTTGCCAAAATAATCAAAAATTATTTGGTTAAAAAATTTTTTTTTTTAAATTTTTGCAAAAAGAATTTAAGAAAAAAACCGAAAATAACCTAAAAAACCGTTTTAAATTTAAAGGGTTCCGGTTCGGTCTCTAGACTTGCATTTAAAAATAATATGGGTTCGGTTACGGTTCCGGTCCACAAATATATACCGGTTTCGGTCCGGTTTTCTGTCCAAAAACGGTCCGGTCCGGGTCCCTCCACTACAAATTGTATATCCTTTTATTCTTTTATTCTAGGCCCTCAATTGTACGTTTTATGTATCGTTTAATAAATAAAATTGAGCCTTGAATATAAAATGTTGTTTGCCATTCGGCAGAATGTCTTTTTGTGCGTTGCTTTAAACTTTAAGCTCAGCACAATAAGACTAACTTAAATAATATATCTGTATTCCAGAGCCAAACTGTATTATGTCCACTTTTTTAAAATCACTTTACACATTTTTTGCCTACATTTTTCCACTCTATATAATGGTAAACAGGAAGTGCTAGCTTACTTAGTTTTTTTATATATTAAAAACTAAATAGATTTAAATTTATTAGTGAAGAGTACAGTGACGTCATCACTTCCTGCGCAAACATGATTCAATAAGTTAAAGTAAAGTTATTTGTTAGAAAGAAGATGATTTTGTGAAAAATTTGAATGTCATTGTTATAATGATATGTAATTGCGATTTCAGTTATAAAAATGGTAATTTTAAGATAAAATCAATTTTTTATACAATATTTATGCGATAATAATAAAGCACCTTTTTTGTAGGGATTAATTAAATTTTATGGAGTAATAATGGGGTAGTTAAATTTTTTCTGACCTATTCTTTTTATGGTTTTATTCAAGGCGTTTTGTAATATTAAACATTTCTGTGAAATCAGAATTTCAATTGAGTTTACCGTTTTCGAGATATTTACAAAAAATATAAATTTTTATGACGTCACAAACCTCGCCATGTGACCAACATTCTAAGATTTCTATTGGTTGAAAATTATCCTGTTGTCAAGTTGTCTTGTTAATGATTTCATTCGGTTATGTCAGAAAATACCCGAAGAGGTTATGTACAAATACTGTCACTGTCAGTTGAGTGAAAGATGGTCACCAAATTCATTAAGTACCTATCTTCCTTATTATGAGGTATCATATTACTGTTTGATATTTTAGAGTCCAACATATATCTAAAAGAATATAAAGAACTAGGCATTATACTAATGAAATGCATTTAAGACAAAATATGATTATAATTATAGGTACCTACTTACTTTATTTGTTTAAAAGCTCCAATGTTCAGTGTAACCAACCATTCCACAAGATTCCTTTGCTTTGGAGTCCGTTATTAATAAATCACTTATCTAATATCAATTACAAATAACATAACAATAACATTGATTTTCAATAATCTAAATTTTAAAAAAACATAACCCGAAAAAAAGAAACGTCAAAAAATCAATTCTTCTTCTTCTTCTCAACTAAAATTATAGATCAAGTGGTTTTAAAACTAAAATATTATAACGTGGCGCCATCTATCGTAACAATCTTAAACTAAACACACTGGCAACCATAGAAAAAGCTGGCAACGTTGTCAATAGCCTAGTGAAGTAATTAGAAGATTTTTTTTTGTAAATATCTCGAAAACGGTAAACTCAATTGAAATTCCGATTTCACAGAAATGTTTAAAATTACAAAACGCCTTGAATAAAACCATAAAAAGTATAGGTCAGAAAAAATTTAACTACCCCATTCAATTTAATTAAATTTATAAAAAAAAATTGTTTATAAAAAAACATTTTTTTTCTTTCAGTTTTAAGTGCAATTTTTTGTACTCTAATGTAAATACCTGATTTTTGTTTTAATTTGAATGATTTTTATTTTTGTGTGTTTCAAATACATAATTTTTTTAACAAGTTTTTTACAATTTATTTTATTAGAAAAATAGTCCAAAATTTTTTTCTCTGCGGCACTTTTTTGGACGGGCTCTAACGTAATGTAACTGGTTTAAAAAATTTTGATTAAATTCCAATATTGTAATTGTAGAACTTTTTCGTAAAAAATAAAAAAGTTTTACTTTGGTCGTGCTAATAAAGTGCATTGTTTACATCAATTAATAAATACCTACCAACTAGTTTATTTGAAATTTAAAAATAATTTCATTTTGCCTATTACAGCAGCCTAATATGACCCTTTAAACTAATATGTTTTTAACTAATGCGATTACTATTCGTCAATATTTGATTTTATCAAAAAATTTTCTCCAATTATAATTTTATAATTTTAGGTCCAAGAAATGGGTATTCTTTTAAAAAACTGTTCTTGCCTTGCTAGGGATCTGGGAAAGATATTTGATGTAAGTAACTGTTTTTGATCTTTAATTAATTTGCTAAAAAAATTAAATGTCTTTAGGTCTACTGGACTTTGGGTGAAGATGGCGCCAAAATCCCCGAGACTTGGCCAACTTCATTGAGCACAGATTTTAATATGGAAACTCCATTTAATTTAATGTTAAATAACGAAACATTTCAATCTTTCATATCCGTAAGTTTTTCATATAAATTCAAATAAAAAAATCCCCATAGAGTATACAGTGTATTATTTATATTCTACTTAATTAACTTTAAAAATACTATAGTATATATACACAGAAGGATACTTGGTGCACCCTGTATACAATTATCTTCAGAGAGTATTTATTTAATTTTCAAGATGATTTTTTTAGTTAATTAAGTAGAATATAAATAATGACTTGATAATAATTAAGTGAAGAATTAAGGGAACACTCTTATTGGCAGGTGCTTAGTCAAAAGGTGCTTAGTATGCGCTCGCATTGGCGTCCTTAAAAATAAAACTTCTGCAATTTTGGGAATACGAAAAAATGGTAAATGAAAATTTGCTATGGAATTTTAAGAGAAACTTAGCTTTATCCCTTGGGCCGCTAATTTTGTTTCTGTTTATTGCCTTTAGTTTTTGTGCATATTATTTAAAATACATTGATCAATTTCGTAAAACATTTTTTAGAGTTCTCCACCACCGTTTAGTACAACAGGACGCACAAACGACATCGATGCTTTGGTAAACGTAATTCACAAAGCGGAAAAGTTTATTTATATCGCCGTCATGGATTATTATCCGCAATTGATTTACTCGCCGAAGAAAATTTTTTGGCCCGTAATCGACGACGCACTGAAAAGCGCTGCTATCGATCACCGCGTCAAAGTCAAAATGCTGATCAGTCGCTGGAATCATTCCAGATCATCGGAAGATCATTTTTTGAGATCGCTGGCTAGCGTGAGCGGATCGTATCCCGGAGTTTCCATACAAGTTGTAAGTAAAACGATTAGATAAGTTGGCTTGAAAAATTCGTGATGCATGAGAAAAACTAAACATTCGATATTTCTTTTAAAAATTAAAAAAAATCATAGATCCAATAGATGTACAGTGTGATGCATGTGTAAACATTTAGGCTGGTACGTGTTTAGTGTGGGAAATATGAAGTCGTGCTTTTGAAGAATGAAGAAAACTAAGATATCTACCCAGATAGCACAAGAGGTACCCAGGACGCCCATTTCGGGTCCCACATAGGTCCGAACGTTCTAGACCTATATCGGAAGTTTTGGGTACGTCCAGTCTCTTACTTATTTGGGAAAATTATAGCGGATATACTGGGTACGTCCCAAGGACGAAATTGAAGCATTGTATTTCCAAATGGTCTAAGTGCCAAGTTGGTTAAATAATATATTATCATTTAAAAATAGTTTGTGTTATGCAGAATGACTTAATAGTATATTCTGTAACAAGTTTGGAATACAGCATATCCGCTCGAGTGAAGAGTTTGTCACACGAGCCGAAAACGAGTTTGACGGTTTCAGGAGAGCGGAATATGCAATTCCAAACGTGTTTCAGACATTTCAACATTTACATGTGCAAAATATTTGTTTTTCATTGATAACTCACAATTTTATTTTTGTAACTTAGACCCCCCAGACAGCATCCAATTCAGAAAGATTTCTGTACGAAGTCTGTTGAAAAACATCTTACTGAGGTCACAATATGACATCTTAGAGAAATCATTTTTAGGAGCTCAAGATTAAGAGTTCTTGATAAATTCATAAATAAGAAGTAAATTTTTTAACATCTTAAAGTATCTTTTTTTCTGACCTCAAAATTAGAAGCTACTAAGGGTAGGTATCATAAATAAGACTTTAGTTATATGATAATATCTTAAGATAATTACAGTATTCTCTTTTCTTACTTCTTGCTGAAATCATATTATTAACTCTTTAAGACGTCAACATGGAGACGTCAAATTTATGACATTTTAATGCGATTCTTTCTTCTTACCGCTGTAACTGCTTGTGCTTGATATAAGAAGCGGCGAAGTAGAATTAAGAGCGTGCTTCATACCAAACGGTCTTAGACCTAGGTAAACGGCTACCCGATCGGGTATCGATACTGACGAGCTCCAAAAGAGGGAAACAGGCCGTCTATCGGTGCCGGTGAAGAGCACGCTTAAATTTAAACAAAAGTGAGACGAAGTAATCGCAATTCCTAAAATAAGCGAATACGAGCAAATTTTTAAAATGATTTTAATAAAATCCATTTAACAAATTAATAAAATAAGACTTAATTAAGACGTCATATTGCTGTCTGGGCCTTTGGAAATACCACTCTTCAATTCTGTAAAGCTTGTCCATTGGTCCCCAATAAAGCATTTCAGGATGGCCAGAGGATGTCTTCCTTAGGACGTTCTGGGGACCGACGATTTGGTAACATCGGATGTCCCTGGAACGTCCTGGGGAAGGTTCAGGACCTGATTCGGACGTACTCGGAACTTACTAATGTCTGATACAAGATATACTCAGGACGTTTTTATAACTTCTTTGTGCTATCTGGGTAGCTACCTCTGTTGCAGAGGGGTCGCCAGCGTTTATATTCAACTTCCCAGCCCAAGCAATTCAACTGTTCCAGGGTGCTGAATAAGTTCTCAGGGAAGAATGCCTCCAGGTCCTTTAAAGCAATGACCTAAACTCTGAAGGTCAGTCATTCAAGCAGACAGCCCACCTCGTACCTTCCATGCCTCTAAATGAAGGTAGGTATCGGGCTCGAGGCAAAGGAAGCTGCGTTTGAGCATCCAAGAGATGATGTTGTAAATTCAGGAGTTGAAACGGTGGCGCCAGAGCCCACCTCGGAACGATCAGAATGGAGACGCCCTTTGCCTTGTTTAAGTGGTGAAGAACTCTCGGTATTAAACATGGGGGAGGAAACACCCTTGCTAGGCGGAAGTTTCGATAAATGCCAGTCCGTCAACGCCTTGTTGCGCGACAAGCTGTCTGCTACGTCGTTGCAGATCCCCGGCAAATAATGGGCTGTCAAAGTTATATCCAGCCTGTGCGTTAGATTCATCAAGATATATGTTAGCCTGCCCAATGCAGTCGACCTCATTCCTCCCAGGGTTTCTGTTTACGTTTCTGTTCTGCAGTAACGTTTGCATTCTTTCATTAATTTGAAATTTTGAAGGATTAGTTTTCCGAAAATAATCTTTCTTCCGCAGGCAGCACATACTTTTTTTCTGTTTTCTTCATGGTACATTTTATTTTAGAGTGAGTTTTCATTTTTTTTAATAAAACGGGTTAAAAATCACAACAATCCAGACACAAAACTAATTAATAAGAATTAACTTTGACATTTATTTTCATGGCCTCCACATGAGTATAATCTAAAAGAATTTTGTAAACATGGGGAACAATAAAAAATCAATTAAATAAAAAATTATGATTTTTACCGAACTCAAACAAGAATTGGCTATTTTATCCATTGAGGATCAGGTGTTATTTTGTTTTCATTTGATCTTAACTCCTTTAATATTAGTCTTTAAAGATCCGAAGCCCGATTTCGGTGTCATTTTCATGCAACCTTTTTTTGGTTTAGGCCCACTGTGTATAGATTGACGTTTACATATATCAAAAAGTTTCAAATAAACTAGTTTCCGTAAACTTTGATAATAATTTTTTTTTAAATATCTCCTTATATTTAAAAAACCACAAAAATAATATAACTAGTGAATAAATAGTATATTGTGCGACCAGTGGGAGAAAGAGGAGATTTCTCGAGCTTTTAGTACGGTAAATGAGCAAAAACGGGTAATATATTATGTATTATATATATTATGTTGCCATGAATTCTGTCTTTTACTATTTTAAAATGCAGTTGTCGGCGTTTTTTGGAGGACTCAAATATAAAAAAGTTTGATTTTAAGGTTCTGTTTGTATAACTATTATTTTGTGAATTCCTAAAAATGTCCAACTTAAATATAAATTATATAAGATATATCATTAGTTAACTAATTAGTTAATTAATTAATTCTGCACCAGCAAATATACGTGACGAATTGTATCCTTTGCCAAACATGACTTAGGTCTTGAAATAAAATTACAAATAAAAACACAATAATTCACTATGATCACTTGATGATAAATACCCACACGAACGTAAGCATATAAAGAATAATACATTGAAATTGAGTACTAAACCAAGTTTTTCAGTTTTTACTTGCAAAGCGAAACACAAATAACGTGCGCGGCTAACCTGTGCAATTGCAACTTCGCGAAAATTTATCGTGTAAAGGCGCATTCATGCTCACTTAAAATAAGAAGTAAGAATAAGAAATAAGATAAAAAGTTAAGTTTGGTTCTTATTTTTGCGTATAAAACTGCGCAAAGGACAAAATTGGTATGTGAATTGGTTTTAAGGGTTTTATGTGCTGGCCATGGATCCATGGTGTTGGAGATCGCGTTTAGTGTCGCTGTCGATTGTTTACGTTTATAGCCAAAATATAATCCACTATAATAAAATATAATCCACTATAATAAAATATAATTGTGTGACAACATTTGACGCGTTTCTCGGAAAAACATCATTAGTCCAAAATTAACATATTTGGGAAAATGAAAAAAACTCCGACATTCCCATTTTTGACCAAAGTACTTTATTGACCTATTTACTACATGTAAAAAAATGTAAGATACTTTGTACAGAATTCCTCATGTTTGTATTTTCAAACGAATATGAAAAAAACACAAAAAATACATGAACATGTGAGGTTTTTAGAAGAAAAAAAACAAACAATTCTCCTTACTAAAAACACTACAAACTAAATACTAACTCTGAGTAACAAAATAAATGAAAAAACTAAAAACTGTATTACTGCCACACTCAGTCTTCGCATCCACTGCTGTTATCATCGTTGTCGACCGTGTTATCAGGACTGTTAGGTGCTATGGTCTTCTGCTCTTTTATCAAGTTATCATAAAATTTTCTATTGCTGTGGTAATGTAAAAGAGGTAGAAGCTTTTCTAGAGTGTCCAAAAACGTCACATGTTGTGTACATGTGACTTTCTTAGACGAAACGGAGTGGACTTGTGATGTTTTTAGAAGAACAAGCTAAATTTCATATTTAATTATTAGGTATGGAACCTATGACATTTTTACGAGAAACACTTATTTGTATACGTATATATGGAGGTTAGGAAACAGTTGGTGCTAATATCTAAATTTCGACGATATTGGACTAATGATGTTTTTCCGAGAAACGCCTAATTTTTTATTTCTTATGTTATCAGCATGAACGAATAATCGCGATCTTATTTCTTATTTTAAGTGAGCGTGAATACGCCTTAAGACTTCTGCCTTTCTTTTTTTGTGAAAAAATTACCAATTTATTTAAAAATCAAAATTTTAATCTTAACAGTGTTAGTATAAAAAGTGTTTGGCTTTTACACTCCACAAATCATTAAAATAATTTCTTTTTAGCGTCACTTCATAGTACCATCAGACAAACAGCAAGAAAAAATTCCTGACGCACGGGTAAATCACAACAAATATATGGTGACAGACAACACTGCGTACATCGGGACTTCAAATTGGTCCGGTGATTATTTCACTGACACCGCCGGTGTTGCGTTTGTGGTGCATGATCCAGTCTACGATAGAGATACAAATCATACAACTATAAGGAGCGAATTACAAGGGGTGTTTGAGAGAGATTGGAATTCTAACTATAGTTTTCCCATCGATTTTGATTTATTAGATAATTAAATGATCGTTTTATATTAACGTACACTACAGTGATTTTTTCCAAAACTATTTGTAACTAGTTTTAAGAGAATAATTACTATAATTATAAAACGTATTCTTACAAAAATAAATTTATGAACCATTTAATTAAAACTACGTCCTACACTAGTGATTCTCAAATATAATTCATTTTGATATTTTCTTAAAGTTATTGATTCAAAACTGTCTTAGTTTTAGAATTACTGGACATAAACAAAAAAACTTAATATCTGCTTAAAAAATAATAAATATTTTTTTATTGATAAGTAATCTTAAATAGGTAGAATAGTACATTCTTCCAAACATACATACTTTTTGTAGGGGAGTGAATGATACGAAAAGGCTCAATTTTGTCAAAATAGAAATATTTTTGTGGTGTTATTGAAAAGACTTAATATTATTATTTTTATTGTTGTATATTCTATAAAATTGATCTCATAAAGTGCCTTTTAATGAAAATAATTGGATCTTTGTAAATATAATTATTCTTATTATTAAAATTAAGTAAATACCAAATTATAGTATTTATATTAGGGGGTTAAATACGTTTTGCTGGGTCCAAAAATCGAAGAAAAAAACTTTTGAGAATATTTCCTCGAAATTTTATCAGGATCGGAGCACTACAACTTAAATTACGGCAATTTATACAGCGCTACCTAAATGAAACTTAAAACGCGATTTTATCGGAATGACTATAATATATTACATATTATGTGTATACACAAATGTAGTTTTTTTTCTTTTTTGAATTCAGTTGAGCTGTTTCCATTATATCATGGTCACCGCTAACGATAGAAAAAAGCCGTTTCGGGGCAAGGGCCGTAGTTCCCAATTTTCTAAATATTCTATACATTGTATTTTTGTTTCAATAATATTATGATTACATACGTGAAAAAAGTCAATAAAAACCCTTAATTTTATCGAGCCCAAACGTATATAACCCCTTAAATTGTATAGCCTGGAAAAGGTTTTTCTATGTAACGCACCAATATAAAAAATAAAAATATTTAATAGGATATGTTGTATTAATTAAACCAAAAAATAAATAAAAAATCTATCTATCTTTCTAAATATTTAAAGTAAAAGAATATTGTGAGAAAAAATCTTACGAGAACAAAGTTAACTGTGCGTCTGGTCTTCCTTGACGAAATCTCTCGCCACCTCCCTGAAAACGAGGTAGTTACGTTTCACGAACACACACTTGTATTTTTTTAAATTTTTTTAATTTATAAAATACAAAAATTTAAGAAAAATCTCCAAAATTGTCTCACGTAATTAATGAACGGCCCCTAACCGAGGATATTGTGTTATTACATTTTTCCTCCAATCTTTTAGATAAATATATTTGTTGGTAAAATTATTATTATTAACGATGTTACTAAAATGCAACGCAACAGATACCTAAAATAATGGTAACATTGTTACCGTTCCAAGTTAACCAATAGGCAATATAACAATAACGTAACATTGCGATACTATTGTAACAAATGTAACAAAATTACCAATAAGCAATGTAACACCAATGTAACATTGTGAAACTATTGTAATGTAACAAAATTACCAATAAGCAATATAACAATAACGTAACATTGTGAAACTATTGTAATGTAACAAAATTACCAATCAGCAATAAAACAGCAACGTAACATTGCAATATTATTGTAATAAGTTTGTGACGTAACAGTTACATTTATGTTACGTAACAAACTTATACTTATACACATCTCGCTCGTGTTACCACCTCGGCTAGGTATATAAAGTTAAGGCAGCGCACCATGTCCATTTGTCATTGGACCTCAAACAGTCTGCCTGATTATGGGAGAGTCAGAATACGATATTATGTATCATTTTATACGCTTTAGCTTTAAACTGACGGGACTTTCTCATGTCGAGCATAATAATGTTGCAACGTAACAATGTTACATAACCGTAAACGCCATGTTATGTAACATAACTTGGATTGCGAAAAAGTAATGGTAACGTAACATTGTTACCTATTTGCAACCATCAGGTTATGTAACTGTAATGTTACATATTACGATTGTTGCATAACATTTTGGTTAATGTTACATTACAATGTTGACCGGGAAGTTTCTAATAATTTCATCATATCTGAGGCCGTCTTCGGCGTCGAGGTTTCCAGTAATAGTAATAAATTGATCCAACACCATTAACTAATTCTCGCTTAATTTTACTTTCTAGTATTAAGGTATAAAACCTTGTATTTAATTCAACTAGAGAATGTTCAAGCAGTTTTTCATAAATATGTTTTTAAAGTAATCTAAATTTTGTTTTAAGTTTGCGTATTGTTTATTAATACATTTTTTCTCCTCCCACCTTTAAAACGCCCTTTATCGTACATGTTTCCATGACACTAAGTGACCTTTTAAATACACATTGACAAGTTGTGGCTTTATGGCGCTTTAGTCACGGGCTGAAGTTGGCAACAGGTTTTTAGTCACGGGCTAAACTTAGTTTTAAGTTAGTTGTCAAATGTCATCTAAGTATTAAATAGTTTCTTAACGCCAATATTTGAAAAGTTTATATGAACATTGTACTGACCTTTTAATTTCGCCGCGCAGTAAACTATAACTTAAATTCGGACACAGACTCCACTGTAAAGTGCTCATAAAACATTTTCTTTACTTTTACTGTGAAAAACAGTCAATTTTCAAGGAATACATTTCGATTTATAACCTTTATAATCTATGTTTATAAAATGAAAAAATTTGACATTTGACACACGATTCCCCTTTGTTTCATAGATGGCGCTCTATACAAAGTTTTTATTTAAATCATTTTAAGATAATAATAAGTATTTGTCGTAGAAAAAGTATAGTATGCACCTCGTTTATAAAATTTTCTATACACTCATTAATTTAAGCACTCGCTCGCAAGCTCGTGCCTAAATTAAATTCGTGTATAAAATGGCGTATATCAAACTTGATAAATAATATACTATTATTCCTTCTTCAAGTGGTTGTAGATCATCTTCTTGTCTTAGTGTCTGGAAAAGCTTATAAACGAGTGCACACTAAACTTTTACTATGACAAATATTTATTATTATCTAAAAATGATTTAAATTTAATATTTGTATAGAGCAACATCAATACAAAAAAGTAGATCGTGTAACAATTTTTAACTTGAGAATCTGTATTACAGCGCGCCACTTAAAATGTTAAATTTGTATTTGTAAATCGAAATGTATCTCTTGAAAATGGACTAACAACCGTTTAAATGATGATATAGAAGCAGTTTTCACAGTGAAAGTGAAGAGAATATTTTATGGATACTTCATGGTGGAGTCTCCACCCAAATATTTTAATGCTTTCAGTTAAATCTAGTTTTTGCCGGCAAAATCAAAAGGTCAGTACAAACTTGCATATAAACTTTTTAAATAGGTATTGGCATTAATAAACTTTTATACTTTTTATTTTTGTGTTAACATAATAAAATAATTTCCACATTATTTCACATAATTTATATTCATTTGAATTCGAAAAATTTCGGACAATAAGACAACTTCTTCTCCTTTAAATATTTCTAATCCGGGGTATTTTATTCGTGTTTAAAGGTGGGTTATTAGGAGCGGAATATTGGGTTTTTGTCTGTGTTACATGACCATATGAAGCATAACATAAGGAAAAGCTGTTACTATAGCTTAATGTTATTACTATTATTTAAAAAAGCAACTACAGCTACCAGACAACCATCTGTGTAATCCTTATCATTAATCATTAGGTGAGATTATAAATTATGTGTTAAATTTCATAGAACAATGTACTTAACATGTTAAATTGATTTTATTATATAACAAAAAAAAACATTAAGTTGTATTGCCTGGAAAAGGTTTTTTAATGTAACACACCACTATAAAAAATAAAAATATTGAATAGGATATGTTGTATTAATTAAACCAATAAATAAATAAAAAATCTATTTTCATACAAATAAAACTTTCTTAAATACATTTATATATTTAAAGTTTAAATTAAAAGAATATTGTGATAAAAAATCTTACAAGAAAAAAGTTAACCGTGCGTCTGGTCATCCTCGACGAAATCTCTGGCCACCTCTCTGGAAACGCATTCGACGTGACTAACCTTATTCCTGAACTTGACGCCGTAAAACTTATTTGCGTGCTCGAGCAGTTCGGGCCTGAAAGTGGTCGTGATAAACTGCGCCTCGCTGCTCAGCTCGTGGATCATATTGGCTATGGATTTCCTGTACTGCGGATCCAAGGCCTGATCGATTTCGTCGAACAGGTAGAACGGCGCAGGATCGCACTTTTGGATGGCGAAAATCAGCGCCAAAGCGACCAGGGATTTTTGACCGCCCGACAGTTGGTTCATGTCTTTCATCTCAGAGTCCGATTCGGTGAAGGAAACTTTGATACCGATGCCTTTGAATATCTCGGAATCCACATCGTCTGGTCGTATATCACGGCCCTCTTCGCTGTCGTTGGTTTTCATTACGAGTTTTGCTCTGCCAGCGGGGACCAATTTATTGAACACTTCTGTGAAGAATTTGGAGATCTGCTTGAAGGTGAACTGAATGGCTTCCATTTTTCTTTGTTCCAACATGGCGATCAACTCTTTGATTTTCTCGTCCCTAAAAAGTTGTATAGATTATTGGCCTAAAGTCCTCATTTTATGTTGACGCTGGAAGCTAGTTTTTTAGTGACAAAACTTTTAAAGCTCGAAAATTAGACGCTAAATGTAGTGACAATACTCTTTGACGCTCAAATTGAGCGTCAAAAGTCGGCGAATGAGAATGTTAGTATGACATACATACGAGCTTATGCTTGACCGCGAAAGCAGATTTTCTAATTTGAATGAATTTTACATTAATTAATAAACTGTAATATGGCAATTAAGTATAATATGTAAAATAAATAAATTTCCACTAATCTTAAAAAATTATATTATTCTCATAAATTAGTTATTTTGGGGCTCTTTCAAAATATTTATACCATCTTTTACTCAACGTTTATAGACTTAAGGAATATATGTGCAAAAATCGGACCTCATAAGATGCCGTGCATGCTGCGGTCCTTACTTAGTCCAATATACAGCCACGAAAAAAACGTTTTTATTATGGGTTTTAAGCGAGTATACTCTTTATCATGATGACGCTAATTTTAAATAAGCAAGGCCGTATTAAATAAGACCTTTTAAGTACAAGAAATGCATTGGTCCTCACAACGCTCGTAGGACGGTCGGACCTCACAACTATAGCGGGATGTAAATATATATAATATATATATTTATATATAGATTTTACATTTATGATTGACTAGGCTATTGCTTCATAAATTCCCAATTTTGTTAAATAATTTATTTTATAATAGGTTTGCTCAAAAATTCATTATGTATAAAACTTCTCTTCTCTCAACCAATTTCACTACTATATTTAATAATAATAATTTACATATTTATAGGTCTAAATTTACATTTTGCAAATCCACAATCCACAGTGTGATAAAAATCTAAATATTTTGTTTTTTACGTACAGCAATGAATGGCTTTGTTGACCTAGAGACATAAAAACATAACTTACCCCCTATCTAATTCTTCTTTACGTTTTTGCAATTTTTCCTTCTGATCTGAGAAGCTCATAAATTGATCTAAAGCCTTCTTGTTCACATGACTAAACTTCTTTAGCTGATTATTTGTTTTTTCCAGTTCTTTAAACAACTAAAACAATAAAGTTATTACAAAAAACAAGTACTAAAATATGTAGCTTACTGAACGTTGAGTCATCTTCTTGTACTGTGAATGCAAATCTTGCGCAGGTAAAGCCCCAAGTTGATTAATTTTTTCAACGCATTCTGCAATCTTTTGCTCCATAAGGTTTTGTTTGGAGGCAAATTTTTCTAAATGCTTTGCATCCTCGTCGATTTTTTCTTGGGCTTCCTTCTCCTTCTTTTTCCAATTTTCAAGTTCAGTCTGTTCTTGTTTAAGCTACAATCATAATCACAATAACTTTTTTATGTACAAAAAAATAAAAAGCTTACCCTTTTATTTATATCTTTAACTTTAATCTCAACAGAACTTAACTCCTTGTTGACCTTCTCGATTTTCTTATCGATCTCTTCAACTTCCGATCTGCTATTAACAAGCTGCCTTTTACGATCTTCAAGCGATATTTCTTGAAGAGCATGCAGAACTTCGTCCCTGCGCCGAATTAAATTGTTGGTCAACAAGTTCTCCAGCTTGTTCTTCTCGGCTTCGAGCTTCATACGAGTACTGAAAGCCTCCTTGTTCTCCTTTTGCAATCGTTGAATATCGTCGTTGAGAGAATCGACTTCGGCCTGATCGATGACCGAAAGCTGCGACAGCAATTCTTGGTGCAACTCGGATTCCAAGCCTTCTTTGGTGGTTTGCATCGCTTCCAGGTTCGACTTGCACTGCGCCAAACTCCTTTCTTTCGGTCCTCTAAACCGATCTATGTTGGATAACTCCTCGCGCATCAGACGAAGTTCACCTTTGACCTTATCGAATATGCCCTTTGCTTTGCTGTTCTTGGTCTCGGTTTTCTGCATCTCGGAAACAATGCTATTTATGGACGATTCCGTTTTCGATAATTCGGTTCTTAAGTTCTTTAATTCTTCGTCGCACTGTTTAATTTGCTGCATGGTTTCGCTGCGATTTTTCTGCATTTCAAGGCGGGATCGGGACGAGTTGAAGTAGCCTCCGGTAAGGGAACCTTTGGAGGAGACTTGATCGCCATCCAAGGTGACGCAATCGAGACCTGTAGTACGGGCCAATTTTGTGGCCACATCTAGGTTACGGCAAATTAGGGTTTTACCGAACAGGAAGCGCATGGCTTTGTCGTATTTTGCGTCGTAATGAAGTTTCGATACCATTGGAATGGCATCCTATAATTTAATTAAATATAAAAACCAATAATTATAATTATTAATTAATTATTATTACTCCTACATTGACAAACTGAGACTTTAGGGCATTTTAGTAACGGGCTGAAGTTATCTTCGCCTTAGAAGTATAGTATGCAACTCGTTTTATAAACATCCCTAGACACTCGTTTTATTAAACACTCGCTCGCAAGCTTTGCTCGTGTCTAATAAAACTCGTAACTTAAATGGCGTTTATAAAACTTGATACATAATATACTAGGTATTATACAGTGAGCGCGTTAAAATCCCCCCCTGTTAACTTTTGAACCAAAAAAGATATCGATGTCGGACAAAAACCCGGGTAAACAATATTGTGTTTACTACTTTTTTACGTTAGTATGAAATTTTTTTGCCGAACAAGTGCCAAGAGGGCAGTATCAACTTGAAAATTTCAAATGGAAAGGGGGTGCTTGTGATACCTCATTTGAAAGGTATTTTAATTCTCTATTTAACACTTTTTTTGTTTTTAAAATTCTTTTAAAAAGTAGTAAACACAATATAGTTTACCCTGGTTTTTGTCCGACATCGATATCTTAATTGGTTCAAAAGTTAACAGGGGGGGGATTTTAACGCGCTCACTGTATATTAAAGTAATAATACCTCATAGTTGTACAAAATTATATAATAAAAGCTTTAAATTATAATTTTATTTTATTTATTTACATGTTTTTAAGCATAATTATAACGATTTTTGGCCCTTCAAAACACATTTTTGTGAAAATTTTTAAGATATTTTGCCCCTTCAAAGCCCTTTTTATAATTGAGTACCTATTTGAAGTACTTTTCAAATACCTATTTTGGATCCTTCAAAGCAATTTAAAAAAATGTTTTGCTATAGTTTACTTCATTGAGGCACGTTTTATAAATTGTGGAATTCTAAGTTTTAAAGCACTTTTTAATGCTATTTAAAGCAACTGACTTTTAAAGCAATTTTAATTATGATTGACCCTCCATGAGAGTTTAATCATATATTTATAAATTAAAAACTATAATTTGCCTAAAGATTTTGTTTCATAAATTCTAAAAAATGTTATAATATTTTTAAAGCCCTTTTATTTAATAATGAAAAAACGTTCGAAAAATAACTTTTAGTACCTAAATAAAAAATATGCTGTTAAAGACCGTATTTTTGTTAGTATACCCTGAAAAATTTGTACAAATTAAACTGACAGTAACTAAGATACAGCGCTTCAAAGTCGGTAAAAATTGCCCCTTTTTGATTATTTTGCTGAAAAGTGGTCATTTGATTTGTACAAAATTTTCAGGTTGTACTAACAAAAATACGGTCTTGAACAGCATATTTTTTATTTACTTAAAAAGAAATTCCCTAAAAGTTATTTTTCGAACGTTTTTTCATTATTAAATAAAAGGGCTTTAAAAATATTTTCTCTAAAAACCCTCAAACACGTTAACTGAGATATAAGTTGAAGTATTTTTATCCAAAATTTCATAAAGAATAATAAAGGTGTTCTAGAGTTAGATTTTTTTACAGTGGTTGCAAAAATTACGGCCAACACTGTATATATGGGGCAAAACACCCCAAGTGTTCCCACCTAAAAATGATGTTTTCTCCGATTTTAACAAAAATTTGCCAAATCATTGTCCTATTGGACTACCTTAATTTTCCAAATGGGGGGCAAAAAGGATTAGCGGGTTGCAGAGATACAGGGGCCTGAAAATTTATTTTTTTTCTCGTGCGCTTAAAAGACGTCGAAATATTCATGTATACAGGGTGTTATGTAATTAATGTTATATATTAAAATAGGTTGTTCCTTAGGGTCCATAAAGAAGCACCTGAAACTTTTTTTTTCTAAATTCCAAAGTCTAAAAATAATTTATAATAACCTTTATCCTACCAAAAAGTACGCCACTGATCGACTAGGAACTTTAGGTTAATCTGGTGGATTTATTATGTTATGTTTGGTAACAGTGTTTCCAAAATCTCTCAAAACAGTTGACAAACATTGTTTAAATTTAGCTTAATTACAAAAATGACAAAATTAACAATGCAAATTGTCAATTTGGCGTTTATATTAATTGTTGGTTATTTCATTTTTGTACTGAAGGTAAATTCAAACAAAATCTGCCAACTTTTATGACAGAATCTAGTGCATTTCTTTTAAATTTTAGGTTATGTTTTCAAATTGTAAATATCTTAACTAAGGGAAGTGCTTTTGGATTTATTTACACAAATTAAATGTTTAAAGTTTAACCTGTGAACTGGTCCCAATTTCATCTGAGTAAACAGAGAAAAAAACTGATGAAAAAATTAATTTTGTGGTTATGGATTTCAAATTTCAAAGGTACTAAATTTTCTAATCATTGCTTAAGCTAATAGCTGGATCAGTAAATAAATACAGAAGGGTTTTAGAGCTTTAAGGGCATACAACTTTTGTATTTATTGAGTTTTTATTTATTTTTTGCAAGAAAAATTTTTAGTAACAATTTTTTACATCTGGCAACGCATAGCTACTTTGTTGGTTGGTATCTATGTACTCACAAAAAATATAAAAAACTTCTAATGCATATTTTTTCTTTATCTTTGGAAAAATGTTTTTTTTAATATTTTTCCTTTATTCCTTATGTCAAAAGGTATTCAGTATTTTAATATATAACATTAATTACATAACACCCTGTATAATAATTTTTTTAAAAATTGATAATCAACATATCGTATAGCATTTTTTACAGGCTTTATGATAAAAATGGTTTCGAAAGCGAGAAAAAATTTTTTGGTTATAAAAAAACGATTTTAAAAATATATTTGTTTTTTTCTCGAAATGCGACACATTAGATTTTTAAAAAATTAATATCAAAAGAAAGCTTTTTCAATTCCCTAAATTTTGATGTAATATGAAGATGGGATCCTAAGAATAAGTCGAACAAAATAAGGGTTGAAGCGCGTAGGGACCGTGCGGCGAGCAGCTACTATAGTATACCTATTGCAGCGGTGCTCGGTCTACTACTTAGTGGATTAATTGGAGAGGGTCAAAACAACTTTTAATATTATTTTTATATAGAAATAAATGTTTTTTTTTAGAAGAAGGTCGATAGAGAATTTAATTCTCATGTACTTCTAACAAATTTAAAATTTTTGGCGCTTGTGTCGTTTTGCCTTAAACTCATCGATTTTATTGCAATAGTTCAAATTAATATATATGTATGTATAGTAGCTGCTCGCCGCACGGTCCCTACGCGCTTCAACCCTTATTTTGTTCGACTTATTCTTGGGATCCCATCTTCATATTACATCAAAATTTAGGGAATTGAAAAAGCTTTCTTTTGATATTAATTTTTAAAAAATCTAATGTGTCGCATTTCGATAAAAAAACAAACATATTTTTAAAAAGGTTTTTTTATAACCAAAAAATGTTTTCTCGCTTTCGAGACCATTTTTATCGTAAAGCGTGGAAGAAATGCTATACAATATGTTGATTATAAATTTAAAAAAAAATTATTATACAGGGTGTTATGTAATAAATGTTATATATTAAAATACTGAATACCTTTTGACATAAGGAATAAAGGAAAAATATTTAAAAAAACATTTTTCCAAAGATAAAGAAAAAATATGCATTAGAAGTTTTTTATATTTTTTGTGATACGCCACTGGTTACACACTTGTTTATCTCTGCACACCTGTATTTTGTGAGTACATAGATATCAACCAAAAAAGTAGCTATGCGTTGCCAGATGTAAAAAATTGTTACTAAAAATTTTTCTTGCAAAAAATAAATAAAAACTCAATAAATACAAAAGTTTTATGCCCTTAAAGCTCTAATACCCTTCTGTATTTATTTACTGATCCAGCTATTAGCTTAAGCAATGATTAGAAAATTTAGTACCTTTGAAATTTGAAATCCATAACCACAAAATTAATTTTTTCATCAGTTTTTTTCTCTGTTTACTCAGATGAAATTGGGACCAGTTCACAGGTTAAACTTTTAACATTTAATTTGTGTAAATAAATCCAAAAGCACTTCCCTTAGTTAAGATATTTACAATTTAAAAACATAACCTAAAATTTAATAGAAATGCACTAGATTCTGTCATAAAAGTTGGCAGATTTTGTTTGAATTTACCTTCAGTACAAAAATGAAATAACCAACAATTAATAAAAACGCCAAATTGACAATTTGCATTGTTAATTTTGTCATTTTTGTAATTAAGCTAAATTTAAACAATGTTTGTCAACTTTTTTGAGAGATTTATGAAACACTGTTACCAACCATAACATAATAAATCCACCAGATTAACCTAAAGTTCCTAGTCGATCAGTGGCGTACTTTTTGGTAGGATAAAGGTTATTATAAATTATTTTTAGACTTTGGAATTTAGAAAAAAAAGTTTCAGGTGCTTCTTTATGGACCCTAAGGAACAACCCATTTTAATATATAACATTAATTACATAACACCCTGTATACATGAATATTTCGACGTCTTTTAAGCGCACGAGAAAAAAATTAAATTTTCAGGCCCCTGTATCTCTGCAACCCGCTAATCCTTTTGGAAAATTAAGGTAGTCCAATAGGACAATTATTTGGCAAAGTTTTGTTAAAATCGGAGACAACATCATTTCTAGGTGGGAACACTTGAGGTGTTTTGCCCCATATATATATATATATATATATATATATATATATATATATATATATATATATATATATAGATGTCTGACCGCGGAATACGAGATCCGTATATGGTTAAACTTGCGGAATATGAGATCCTGAGATCCAAAGGCCGGATCTCGCAACGAACGGGTCAATTATTTTAAGTATTTAGGGTACGCTCATGAGCTTAGTACCAAAAACCGCCGGATCTGACTTTCCGTATTTTTACCTATTTTGTATGTAAAAATAGTTCGTCGTTATTAACATAGAGGCGCTGCAATCGTTTTTGTATATAACCTGTATTTTCGAAATTAAGGAATACGCTATCCAAAAAATTGCAACAGCGCACAGATCTCGTTTGATGCTATACAAATCTAAGCAAGTATATACAAGTCTGTTAGATTTTTCTTGCTAGAGAAGTTTAAAGTGTAGTGTATCAAAATGTTTAACTCTAGAACGTCAAAAATTGTTCGATTGGCAAAAAATTACCTATTAACTTAACCTTTAAAAGAATTAGCGGGAATGTGAGTTACTAATAATGATTTATTAGATATAAAATCTACATGAAATTGGTTATTAACCAACATCAGATCCATTTATAACCAATATATCGATAATTTATCGTTTATGAATCAATTTTAAGACGAATATGAATTTTAAATTTGGGTACTACCTAAATTGCGGAACAGATAATGATATTTTAAAAAAATTACACTTTCTTAAAATGAATTAGTCAACAATAACTAATAATTATTAAGTCATATTTGACTAATTGTCATAGCGAAAAAGCAGTCACTAATTAGTAGATTTAAATTTTAAAAAAGTTTTGACCCATCTGGAGATTGAACTCAGGTCTGTCACTTGTCAAGCTTGTCAAGCTTTTGTCATAACCCATTCGGCCATCAGCCGCTCTTTTAAAAATCAATTTTATTATTCAATAAATATTGTAATATTTTAAAGTTGAATATATTATTTGTGTTGCTGTTTTAAGCTAAACTGTTTGCATCTTTATTTGTTTAATGGGTCATTTAACCATGGAGCTTAGGTATATGCATTTAATTCAAATAATACTTTGTTGTTGGCCGCAAACGATTAAAGAAATTAGTTACTTTTAACTCTCAGAAATAATCAAAGATGGTGACTAATCTTAAATTAGTCAAACTTTAACTATTTACGTGGTAAAAAACTATTTAAAAGTAAACCGACTATTTTATTTAAAAAAAAATGCTGGTACTAATTCAAATAGTAGAGTTTTGACTATTTCATTTTTAGAGAGTTAGTATAACTTTTTCGAACAAGTGCGGCCAAACAATGTAGGTGCATCCAAGTAAGTTGTATCAAATGCACCACGAAATAATTTATTTCCTAATAAAAAATACTAAAAAATGGCGTCCACTCAGTGTAACTAAGTATTATAAATGCGGGCAAGTAAGTTTTATCAAATGCCCTAAAATATGAAGAATACAAATTTACTGAAGGTAGAAAATATTAATGTAAAACTTAATTATGTATAATACTTTTACTTTTAAATATATTAATATTTAATATTTGTTATTTTGTTTACAAAAATTATTTTTTTAATATATTAATATTTAATATTTGTTATTTTGTTTACAAAAATTATTTTTTTAATAGGTATATAAAAATATAATAATGTGTGCTCACTTTTAGAGGCGGCGGCGGGGGCGGAAAAAAATTATTTCGGGTTCATTTGAAACAACTTACTTGGTTGCACCTACATTGAGTGATCGACCATTTTTAGCAATTTTTATTAGGTTTCTAGGTTGTGGGGGCAGCGGCTGGGGTAAAAAAATATTTTGAGGAGCATTTGATCAAAAAAGTTATAAGACGTTTTTTAAAATATGATCTGTTCCGCATAATTTTTATTTTATATTTCTTAAGTTTATTTTTCCGTTAGATTATGTAATCAGTTTTTACAGGATTATTTAAACTTTTTATTATTATTATTATTTTATATATGTTTCTTAGTTAATAAAAAATATTTATTTCTGGTGTTTTTCTTTTAATAAATTTTTACTGGAACAAAAATTGTTGCTTCAAAACGTCCGGTATAATTTCGTAAAATTACAGCTTTTTTGTGCGCTTTAAATGGTGTATCTCTTGTTAATTCCGATTCTATTTTAAGTTTATAATACATAAAATAGATTATCTATATATACTATTCTTATCAAGATCAAAGGAGATCCGAAATATGGCAACACCGTCGGATCTCGCTTTCCTTCTAATTTTCGATGTATAGATAGGGTTTAGGATCTCTTAATAAACATGTTTTATTTTGCCAATGGGTTTTCCAAAAGCATTTATATTAAGACAAATTTGTAAAATTAAATTTGGTTATCATTAAAATTTTAAGGTTTTTAAAGGTATTTCAAGAAAAAAACAAAATTTTATGGTGGATCTCGTATTAGACATCTATACATGGATCTCGTTTTCCACTTTTATAAATATATATATATATATATATAATGATCATTAAAATAACGTTCTTAGATCAAATTTTATTTAAAAATTTTTTTCCTACCGAATCATTGGGATAGTCCATCTCCCTGGCATTGAGACGATTTAAGGGCATGAACGTGACCTCGCCGGGCAGCTTCTGGTTATTCATCTCTTTCAAAATTTGCGTTCCCACCTTGTCGGAGTCGATGACGTGATGGAACAGACGGTTACCGGCCGTCACCTCCACGGCCGTGTAGATGCTCTTGTCGCAGTCAAAGTTTTCGATGACGGGGCCGTAGTAGGAGCGCGCGATCTCCGCTTCCATGCCGCCGCGCTGCACGAACGTGTCGAGCACTTTGCGAACGCTGTCGCGACCGTTCAGGATCGGTTTGCCGGCCATCGAGCGCAGCTGTTGGTCGGCTTTGGCCAGATCCTCTTTCAGTGACGACAGGTTTTGCTGCACGTTGTTCTCTTTTCTCCACAGCTCGCTGAAATAATTAGAGATGTTGTTTTTTTGTTTTTTTTTCAGGTTTTTACCGTTTTTCTTTTTACTTAGTAGAGTGCTATTAATATCTCATGGCGGGTGAACTTGGGTGCGCAGAAGTCTCAAATCTGTCAGATCGCGCTATTACTCGCCGACCTAAAAACATACTACCCTAGGGTTGGCAAAGCTTATATTTATTGACATATTTTGACATTTCTAGGCTAGACATTGTATTATATTTGTTAATATAATTTATATAAATATTATTTGTTATACGAAATGAATTATTCAGAATAACAGAAAAAGCAGTGATTCACAGCCAAGGGCGGCAGATCGTCTACAACGTTCTCCAATATTTGAAACGCGAGTTAAAACGCGAAGATCGTGAAGATCCTGTTATACCTCTTAGGCATTTACAAGAGCAAGTGGCCGCAGCAACTGGTGTTTCTTTGAGGATGGTGAAACGAAACCAACTGACAAGAAATTCGCTTCGCCAAGAAAACTATTAATAAACCAAATCCCAAGACAACAGTTGATGAGTTTGATGAAGAAGTGATAAAAACTATTATCTATAGATTTTCGCCAACACATAAATAACGAACTTTAAAAGGCCTTTTTGAAGCTGTCCAAATTGATTGCCCCCATTTGTCTAGAAAAGTATCTTATAGGCGCGCATGTGGCAAAAACTGAGGAGTATATTTCAAGAAAACATTTTATCGACGACGACGCGTCGTCATGACTTTCATGAACTTATAGGGGTTAATAATGATTCAGTCTGAATGTAGTCATCAGATGAGAACACAGACCACCAAAACAAATGGACGGATTTGTTTACGTTTAAAAAGCATAGTTTCACATTCTAAACACCGTCGAAATAAACACGGCTTCCAACGTTGTCAGAAGTATAGATTACACGCCTTTTTGGACGTTCATCATAACATAATGAACATTAAAAATTACCAGTAATTCGTTTGAATAATAAAAAAATTGTAAAAAGGATTTGTTCATCATTTATGAGTTTATAATAATACTTATTTGTATACTTATATATGGAGGTTAGGAAACAGTTGGTGCTAATATCTAAATTTCGACGATATTGGACTAATGATGTTTTTCCGAGAAACGCCTCAATTTGTTTCACTAAACCTAAACTTTGCTGATGATTATTTGAATAAAAACTTAATTAAATTAAATTATCCCTATTTAAAACCACGGCATGTAACATAAATAAATTTAATTTAAAAAACGTATCGTAATCACATGTAAATTTAACTATTTTTAAATTATCCCTATTTAACACCACGGCACTGGTTGCAGTCAGCTGTCATATTTGTTATATGTCAGCTGTTTTGAAGTACGCAATACGTCACTGGAAGAAAACATAAAATTCTATGGCCAATTTAACGCTTAGACTGTGACCGTTCGTTGACCGCAAACAAAGCATTGTTATTGAATGGCAATGCGCCGTCCATTTGTTTTGGTGGTCTGTGGATGAGAATGACATAAAAAATATGAAATAATAAAAAACCTATCCATTTTTACAGCATAGTTCGGATCATACATTCGCACAGATTCTATTCTTTTTTTTTTACTTAAATCCATTATTTATTTTACAGACTATTGAACAACAACTAAAAACCTTGCTGCAAAAAGGGGGTAACTTTTACGAATGTGACTTACACCCTAAACTGTGAACTAGACTATTCTGCATTGTTTCGTGAAAAGACGACTCAAAAATATCTTTTATGGAGTTACCTCCTTTTTGCAGTCATTATCTAATGTTATAATATAATGAAAAAACGGTTTACTGTATTAGTTGCCAGATGACAGATTTCCATTTATTTATTAAATTGCACCGCCTCTCGCAGCGTCTCTCAAAGTCAACCGCCATGAGATATTAATATCACTCTACCATATAATATATAATATACTATATAATATACCTATTTTTTACGTTTTCTGCCATTGGAAACTTACTTTTATTTATTAATCCAATCAAGCAAAAAAATTCAGTTTGCAAATATTTTAGTAAAAAATTTGGGCATTTAATTTACGAAAATTTGCAAATATTGTTTAGTTTTTGTTCATTTATTTAATAAATTATGCAATATTAAGAAATTTGTATGGAATCAGATCTGTTGCAGTTACTTTTAAAAAGTATCTAATTGAATTATAATTACCAATTATTTTGGCACAAAGATATAAATTACCAAATTTAGTTTAATTACCAATTACCATGAAAAGTAATTGAAACAATTACTATAATTGAATTACTTATTTTAATTCAATTACTTCTCATAGTAATTGAATTACTTTTAAGTAATTGAATTAATTTTTAGTGATAAAATTACTTGTTAATAATTGAATTTTAAATAATTTAATTACTTTTAAGGATTGAATTGCTTATAAATTTGTTGAATTATTTTAAAAAGATAAAGCAATTAATTTTTAGTTAAACTATTCAAAGAAAACATATTCTTATTTATATTATTAAAAATTATTTAAAAAATACACTAATTTAACAGTACCTACAGCAAATAAAAAACAAAACTTAAAAAATATTATAATTTTTTGAATTTGACTTTAGGATATCTAGCGCTTCAAAATGTTTATCCGATAGAGCATGCCTTCTAGGGCTAACTCAATCTTCTTTTTAAGTTTTTGGTCAAATGGTTTAACCTGTCTCTAATTCAAAAAAAGTATATTCATTGGAGTGTTTGTTGTATCTGAAAATTATTCTGTTAGATCACTGTGCCCAAACGTGCACATAGAACATGCGCCCCCTGGAAGGTTAAAAATAAATTTTACAAACCTTTTTAAGAAAATAAAGTATATGCACAACTCATACTATGAATGTCAAAGTAATTCGTGCACATGTTGTGAACCAACAAAAATTTGTTTTCGCTTTTAAGATGACTTAAAGTCTATAACCCAATAAACCCATAAATGTACCATACTCACTCATAAAATATTTTTAAAGCCCTTGCAAAAATACTCTTCTAGATTCTAGACCTAAGACCTAAGAATGATTCATTTTAACGTTTTTTCTTTATATTATTACAAAGCTGTTTTGGACAAATTATTGGGTAATTGAATTAAAAATAAATAATATCAATTACTTTCAAGTAATTCAATTACTCTGAATGTAATTGAATTACCTAAGAATTTTTAAAATCAATTATCAATTACAATTACTTTTTTCAGTTATTTAAAAATCAATTACAATTACCATTTTTTCTCGGTAATTAAATTAAAGTAATTATTTTAATTCAATTACCGACAGCTCTGCATGGAATATCACAATTTTAATTACAATATTCAATATTTGATTTTGTTCAAACTACCAAACAATAGAAAATCCAATTTTATTCAACACCCATTGGTGGCCATTTTTTTTCCTCACCTTAAACCAGTGGATAAAATTTTACTTTGCCAACAGGCTGAAGTAAACTTGAAAATTGTAAAAAAGTGAATTTAAAAATGCTTGACATTTGGTTCAGAATAAACAATTAGAATAATAGATTTTCTTTGAAAAGTAACAAAAAATTTCATTTGACAATAACTTGGCTAAAAAAATAAAATAAAAATTTTTTTGGTCGATTAATGTTTATGGTCAAATAGAACATTTTGACAAAAAACAACGAAAGCCATTTTTATCGTGTTGATTTCACGAATTCTGACGCAGTTGTCAGATATAAGATAAAATATTAAATAAAATTGGCTTTAAATTCCTTGCGGAAGTTAAATCAAATATTGTCTGCGACTATTGACCAAAAGAGGACATTCCACTCGCGTGTTACCGATCTACCACGCTTGAGGAATCTTCTTTCTCCTACTAGTTGCACAAGTTGTAACTTTTGTGTGAGTAAACATTTTTAATTATGGAAATGCAATACATAAAAGGTATATTATATTTTATATTTTACTTTATTAATTAACACTTTTCGAAATTTTATATTTCCCACACTAAACTTGTACTAGCCAAGATATTTACACATCCTTTCAAAGGATTCCTTTGTAAGTACAATGCAGTGGTGGCTGGTGAATTTTGGGTATACCCATATCTCAGTTATTAGACATGGGACCCACACCAAAATTATATGAGTTCATAATGACATTAAATAGACAAGATCTGCGCAAGCAGAATTTAAATTTAAGTTTGGGAAAAAAAGTTTGTTTCTCAGCTAGTTTCCCCCACCCCCTGCCCCCCTAATTAAAATAATTCAAATTAAAGTTGTGCAATTTTTAATTTACTATAGTTTATCGACAAATTTCAAATTTTCTAAAAAAAATCCTGGTATTGGAGATTTTATACCGTTTTTTTTTTTTCTTTTTCACTAATTTTTTTATATAGGTATAAAACTATAGTAAATTAAAAATTGCACCACTTTAATTTAAATTATTTTAATTAGGGGGGGCAGGGGGTGGGGGAAACTAGCTGAGAAACAAACTTTTTTTCGCAAACTTTAATTTAAATTTTGCTTGCGCAGATCTTGTCTATTATAAACTCATATAATTTTGGTGTGGGTCCCATGTCTAATAACTGAGATATGGGTATACCCAAAATTCACCAGCCGCCACTGGTACAATGGCACTCAAATGTTTTACTTAAATACTAAAAAACTAAATTATAGACATACTTTCTTGTGGCTTGATACTGGTCCTTATTTTTCTTTAGTTCATAACACTGCTTGTTATGCTCATCAATACAATTTTTCTGCCTTTCAAGTTCTTGTGATTGTTCATCAATTTTCTGGTTCAACTCAATTTCTTTAGCAGCATCCCTTTTTAAGTCTGCCTCCAACTTATCCCTGTGATCTTTTTTATCCTTTAATTGTTTATTTAAAGACCTACACAAATTTGAATTAGTCAAATATTAAATGAAAATATTCATAGCTTACTTTAATTCCTGTTGAATCCATTTATCACGATCATCCTTTGAAGCAAACTGACTACCTCTGCCTTGTTTGGCATACAACTCCTTTCTCTTTTGCTCTTTAAGAGACAGCTCCCTTGTGCATTCTTCTTCTCTCTTCTTCATGGCTTCATACTGAGGCTTCACCTTCTCTAAATCTGCTTCCTTTTCAGTGATTGACTTGGTCAAACGAGCCAGTTCATTCTCTGCTCTTTCTCTGGACTTATTATCACCTTGCACCTCTTCAGACAAATCTTTGATGGTCAAGTCCAACTTGGCTTTTTCTTTGATCAAGTGTTGCTGATCATTGCCCAAAATGTCCCTTTCTTCCTTCAAGGAATTTAACTCTTTTTTGGTTTCTTTAGTTTTTTTTGTGTAATTCTTGATATTGTCTTGAGCTTTTTTCAGATTTCCTGTTAGTTTTTCCTGCTCTGTGCCGGATTCATTTCTTTTTAATTCAAGCTACAAAATAAATAACTTAAATAATAAAACTAAATAAAAACTATTACTGACAAAATTCAAACAATTCTTACATCATTTAGCTTTTTCTTGTTATCATTAAGTTCAAAATCATGAATGATGTATTCCAATGTTCTTCTGATTTTGTCATAATGCTGATACTGTTTTAACTCTTCCTTTTCCTCCTCCAAAGTACTTAAACGTTCTTCAATTGTTCGAAGAAATTCCTCAATTTTTTCAATCTTTCCTTCAGTGTCTCTCAAAATCGTCATCGATTCATCACGTCTTTCATCGTAAACTCTTGTACCAGCAACTTCTCTAAGCAATTTCAACCTGTGTGCATCTGGAGCTGTGGCCATTTGGTTAATCTAAAGTTTAAATTGAAGTGTTAAAGATATTGAATTTTTATTTTTTTTAATCTTACTTTTCCTTGTTTAACAATATAGTAAGGATTTGAATTGGAAAATCCAGCTGATTCCAGCAAATTCATGACCTCACTTCTGGGAACAACTTTCTTGTTCAAAAAATACTGATCCTTTTTGGCACCAATTACTCTACGCAAGTAAATTTCTTCATGCTCAATCTACAAAAGATTAATACAATAAATAATTATTAATAATAATGTTTAACATGTGAATAAATATACAATAGGTATTTACATTCATCAAAATAGAAAATAAAAAATGTGAAATATGAAAATATATCGCTGCTTTGGTGCAAGACTATCCTAAGTCCATTTTCAAAAAATTGGAGAAAAACACTGTAAAACATATCTATTGATTGTAACTAAATTGTTTTTTGCATAATATGTATTTATTTATTAATCTTTGGATGTAAAACCTTCCAATTTTTAAAAGAATGACGCAAAAAACAATTTAGTTACAATAAATAGAAATGTTCAATAGTGTTTTTTTCCAATTATTAGAAAATGGACTTAGGATAGTCTTGCACCAAACCAGCGATATGTATGTAGTTTTTTTATTTTCTATTTTGACAAATGTAAATACCTATTGTATATTTACATAATAAACATTATTATTAATTACTATACAATATCAATAGTGTTTAAGAAAAAATAACATATAAAAAACAAACCTAAACAACAAATATGATATATATTAGGGTGATTAAAAAAAATATATTTATTTTTACTTTCGACACTGAAAAATTGGTTCTTAGGCACCTCTAAAAGTGTATATTCACATAATAAACATTATTATTAATTACATAGATTCTGTCATAGAATACATATAATTGCATACAATATCTATACAGTGTTTAAGAAAAAATAAAATAATAGAGAAGCCTAAAAAACCTAAACAACAAAACACTACCACAAGTACTTGACTTTTTAGAACCTTTTTTCAAGAAACTCTTGTAAGGTCACCTTACTAAGGTGTAGAATGCCTTTTCAACAGGGTATAATTTAATAAATATTGTAAAACACTGGTCCCCAATAAGTTATAGAATTTTATGTACTTTTAATATGATGGAATTTATTATGTAAATTTTTCTTTCAGTGCATGTTAAAGCTGTGCATTTGATTCCATGTAGGGTAGATATATTTTTATTAGTATATAGTAGACAATTGTATATGTGAACGTATGGAAGAGTTAAAACTTTCAGCTTTTTAAAAGAACAAACATTATCTTTATATTTAATGTTATCAACTATGAGGATTGCCTTTTTCTGTATTTTAAATATGCAAGAAGCTGAGGCAGAGTGACCCCATACAGCCCCCTTGTCAGTTCATGCAGGACACTGTCCATGTGCTGATCCCACAATAATTTATTGTCCAAATAAACACCCAAAATCTTCACACCAATTGACGCGTTTCTCGGAAAAACATCATTAGTCCAAAATTAACATATTTGGGAAAATGAAAAAAACTCTCTGACATTCACATTTTTGACCAAAGTACTTTATTGACCTATTTACTACATGTAAAAAAATGTAAGATACTTTGTCCAGAATTCCTCATGTTTTTTTTTTCGACGAATATGAAAAAAACACAAAAAATACATGAACATGTGAGGTTTTTAAAAGAAAAAAACGAACAATTCTCATTACTACAAACACTACAAACTAAATATTAACTTTGAGTAGCAAAATAAATAAAAACTGAATTACTGCCACACTCAGTCTTCGCATCCACGGCTGTTATCATCGTTGTCGATTGTTATCAGGACTGTCAGGTGCTATGGTCTTCTGGTCTTTTATCAAGTTATCATAAAATTTTCTATTGCTGTGGTCATGTAAAAGAGGTAGAAGCTTTTCTAGAGTGTCCAAAAACGTCACATGTTATGCACATGTGACTTTCTTAGACAAAACGGAGTGGACTTGTGATGTTTTTGAAGAACAAGCTAAATTTCATATTTAATTATTATGAAACCTATGACATTTTTACGAGAAACACTTATTTGTATATGTATATATGGAGGTTAGGAAACAGTTGGTGCTAATATCTAAATTTCGACGATATTGGACTAATGATGTTTTTCCGAGGAACGCCTCAATTGTTCCCCAGTGTTTAGTGCAAAGAATATTGCAATTGTTTTTATTATAAATTATTGTAGTGGTTTTGATAAAAAAAAACAAAAAAAATGTTTTTCTTTAAGCTTTTTTTACATCTCTAGAAACTGTAGAATCTGTGATTAGATATATATAAATTATTTATATTTTTATTGTTATACTGTACATATCTTGTATACATGTTATATTTATATTGTTATTTTTTGTATAGGTTTGAGATAGCTTTCTTGCTAAATAAAGATTATTATTATTATTATAATCAAACACTCACAAAGTCACACTTAGAATTTTGAGAACTAAATAGAATAGAAAATAAAAAAATTATAATAATAGTTAAAATAACTGTAAGAACAGGTTATTAAAAAAAATAAGAATATGTTGGCTATATAATATATAGCCTATATTACAATATTAATACTTACTGGTACACGTGAATCAGCATTATCAAATATGATTTCAACATAAGCAGAAACTACCCTGGGTCCAGTGCCTTCATGAAGTAAGGCCTGCCGTTGGTCAGGCCGTAGATGTGAGAACTCATCACTAAGTACAAATTGTATGGCTAAAATTTTGAATGACTTAAAGAAAATTAATAATTTAGAGATACCTTACCATAGAAAAAGTTACTTTTTCCAGAACCATTACGTCCTACAACTACATTATGCCTTTTATCAAAAGGCTCAACCACAGTTTGATCTCTGTAACTTTTAAATCCCTGAATAATAACCTAAAAAAGTTTTAGTAAGTGACTATAACCAGTTTTAAAAATTAATCTTACCTGTTTTATATGCATGATGTTAAATAACTAAAATATTAATAAAAACATTCATAAACTAATTTGTTATTCCGCCATTTTCTGAACGCGCTAATACTGCCAACCACAGAACATTAAAAATAATATTCTTCTTCTTAATAGAGTAATTGCATCAAAAATGAAAATCCCTAAAAACCTTTTTAATGTAATCTAGAGGTAAAAACACATTGCAAAAATATTTTTTTATATTCCAAAAGTTCAACCCGGCCCCAAAATATCAAATTGAAAAAAAGGTACTTTTCAAACGTTCCGAACTCCCGCCATATTGCATGACGTCATAAGCTTCACCAGCTGTCAGAAATCAAGATGTTAATAAATAATAAACACCGATAAAGTTTATGTTTAACATGGAAAACGCGAAACCAAAAATTGGTTGTAAATATTGTTTTGTGCCTTGTTGTACAAATACAACCTGGAAAACTCCTGGGAAAGTTGTCCCTTCAATTATCAAAAGCAAAGTTTATGACCCTACACTGAGAGTAGTTACGGCTCAGCCGTATTTTCTTGAATTTATTAATATTTAACATACCTATTCAAACCATATACCTAGTAAACGACATTTTATTTTACTTACATTAAAATGATCCTTAAAATGAGCAATAAAATGGTGACGATGTTTTGATATCGCGCCGAACTATTTTAATCCACTTTATCCTTATTTTCCCTTTTGGCACGGTGATAAACCTTTTCCCAGGAGTTTTCCAGGTTGTATTTGTACAAGGCACAAAACAATATTTACAACCAATTTTTGGTTTCGCGTTTTCCATGTTAAACATAAACTTTATCGGTGTTTATTATTTGTTGACATCTTGATTTCTGACAGCTGGTGAAGCTTATGACGTCATGTAATATGGCGGGAGTTCGGAACGTTTGAAAAGTACCTTTTTTTCAATTTGATATTTTGGGGCCGGGTTGAACTTTTGGAATATAAAAAAATATTTTCGCAATGTGTTTTTACCTCTAGATTACAATAAAAAGGTTTTTAGGGATTTTCATTTTTGATGCAATTACTCTATTGACCATATGCAAGGAATGCGGTCGATGTTGCCAATGGTAAAAAAATAAAATTCCCTATTGGGAACATTCAATTATATTACGTTGGCTACACTGAAATTTTGAATTTCCCGCAGAAACTGACATACATTCTAGTAGTTCCCAGAGATAAAGAAGGTAGTTCCAATGTTGTATAATAAATTAAGGTGCGAATTTCAAATGTGGGAATTATTATTATTTATTATTATTAAAAAAAACATGGAAATTAATTTAGTTTGTGCGGGAAATTCAAATTTTCAATGTAGCCAACGTAATATATTTGAATGTTCCCAATAGGGAATTTTATTTTTTTACCATTGGCAACATCGACCGCATTCCTTGCATATGGTCAATTCTGATCACAAATGTGTGTACAGACTCCATAGACATAATACATGTGTATTATTTCTATGACAGACTCTGTACTGTCCTCCAGAGGAATAACCTTCTTTATCTCTGGAATGACCTAGGTCTATTTATTTTCGCCGAAAATTTTTCGATTTCCACCCAACGTTGCCAACTGCAGGGAATTTTTATCTATGATTTTCCCTTTTTCGAGAACTTTTGTTGTCAAAAGGGAAAGCCTGATTTATAGATTGTCTTCCTTCCTTCCTTCCTCCCTTCCTTCCGTAAAAGATTAACATTACGAAAACAGAAGTGCCGTTTATAGATTCCCGTACGGGATTGTATTGTTCATCTTCTACGGGAGGAAGGAAGGACGGCATTCTATAAATCAGGCTAAATATTTTTATGTAAAGGGGATTTTTTATGTAAAATGTGAATATTAGGGAATTTTCAATAAAAATAACTGGTCAGTAAGGGTCTACCCAAATCTACATTTTAATAATTTTTTTATTGTTTTAATTAATTGCGGCGACTTTGGCCCCACTCCTCAAAAAAAGTCTGGCAACCCTGGTATTATGTGCAGTCACCAGGGTTGGGTCAGTAGAAAACCTTAGGTAATTTACCTTGGTAGAAAAGGGTAGAAAACTTGTTTTCGACTTGCGTCGAAAACCTATAGGGTTTTCTACCTACGTAAATTACCTTATTCGACCTTCTCCTTCCACTTCTCTATAATTGATAAAAATTTGCCCTCATGCCAAAAATTATGTTGGGGTCTCCCAACCAAACGCGGCCCTTTTTTTCCCACCATAATAATGTTAAAAAACTCCAAATAACTTCAAATTTATGGTAGGTGTCTGATTTTTCACAACATTTAACAAATCATAATAAACAACAAACTTGCATAACCTCACATCTTTTGATATTTGACAGTATTCTACTTTTTTACGTTTTCTACCGTCGAAAACGTCGAAAAAGGTTTTCTACATGTCGAAAACAAAAATGTAGGTAGATACCCAACCCTGGCAGTCACCGAACAGGCTGTCATCAAACTGTCAAATGTCAATTTTAAGGTTATTTTATACGAGATGCTAAATGCCACTTATGTTCTGTGATGCCACTGGTGGCTCCACTTACAGCGCAGTCTCGCTAGAGGCACTCTAACGTGCCGCGATCAGAGATATAGAGGGAGGAGAAGGAGCTTGGACCATTGCGCATCCAATTTTATGGCGGCTCCTCTTACTGCGCATGATCGCTTAATTGACAAATGTGCCGCGATTCGAAATGTTAAAGGCACGCAAGATACATACACCTTAAGATAGGATGGTGCGCATGTTGGGCGGGGCTTAATGACGTCACTTGATGAGTGTTTTTAAATCTTTAACGTGCTTTTTAATTATCTACTGCTAAAATTCTTGTTTTTGCAATGCTTTTGGATGTTAACTTGCTATAGTTTTTGTTTAACTTGTCGTTTTTGTGTTCGGTAAGGTTCGAATTACTTTTCAGCGTTCAAATTATTGTTATTGCGTTGTGTTAACCTGTTCGGTTTGTTTATTATTGTTTTTGTGTTGCGTTAACTTGTTTTGTTTGTGTTTTAGATTGTGTAGTGCCATTTGCATTTATTAAAATGCGGTTTGGCATATTTGGATGCAATTCGGACAACCAGTCCAAGAAAAACCCTTTAAATAAAAACATTAAATTTAATCTATTCCCGAAAAAGTTTGATTTGTGGAAACAGTGTTTAAATGCCACAAAAATAATAGACAATATTAACGTTAAGACCGCTTCTGTTTCCTATAAACATTTTCGAAAATGTTTATAGGATCTGGACAGTTTAATTTAAAACACCAACGCTTAAACTACAGCCCTAAATGTTATCAAGGTCTGAAAGCATTCCCCAGTAGCACAAAATATTGGTCCTATATGGGGCGCATATATGCCCAATATTTTATCTGGGACCAATATTGGATTTATTTAGCCGATGTTGGCCCAATATTAAATAAATAAATAAATACTTTATTGCCCAACAGTTTAAAACCAGTTACAGGACAAATATACTAGTATATATTGGCATAAAATGGTTATTTAATATATCTTGCCAATGTTTATCCAATGTTGGTCCTATATTGGCATATCATTTTACGCCAATATATCATTAAACATATTTATCCAAGATCGGTCCAATATTGGCATATCATTTTAAGCCAATATATCATTAAAAATATTTATCCAAGGTTGGTCCTATATTGGCATATCATTTTACGCCAATATATCATTAAAAATATTTATTCAAGGTTGGCCCTATATTGGCGTAACATGATTATCCAATATATCATAGTATCAATGTTGCGCATGTTGGGCGGGGCTAAAATACGTCAATCGTTGAGTATCTTTAAAGCTGTAACGTGCGTTTTAATTTACTGCTGCTAAAATGAGATGCTGTTGGATGTTAATTTGCTCTGTTTTTTGTTTAAATTGTTTTTGTGTTCAGTAAGTTTCGAATTATTTTTCAGTGTTCAAATTATTGTTATTGCGTTGTGTTAACCTGTTCTGTTTGTGCTAAAATTATTGTTTTTGTTGCGTTAAAACTACTGTTTTCTTTTAAGTAATTTTCTTTTAATAATAAAAAATAGAATTAAATATTATGAGATATTTTTCCAAAGCATCTATCATCCATATTATAACACTTTCTTCAATATCAAGTTTAAAAAAACGCACTATGTCCAGATATTTCTCTATTTCTTTGATAATATTACTAATAGTAATTTACTATTATTCGTGTATTAGGGCGGCAACTACTCATCGAGTGACGACATGCGCTGCACGAACCAAAACTCGTCCACGGGAGCATCCAGCCCTGCCACAGCGAGCACGCTGACGGAAAGACTCGGGTGCTTTCGCGTTTATTCAAGAGTGGCACTTCTGTGGTGTGTGTTCAGTTTTCCCCGCGCATTGTAATATTGGTTTTTTTTTGTAAAAATAATTTCAGTGCAAATTTTAAAAATACACATTTTAATTAAAAGAGCATTTATTTTTACTTGGTTCATAACTTTTTAAATCCAATATTTCCGCACCTTACATAGTAATTTATATTCTATAATTGTAATAATTTGCTTTAAATTAGTCAATCAAGTAAACCACTTATTTAAGTTGTTTTTGAATGTGTAAAATATTAGTTTTTCAGAACCAGAATTTTACCTTAAGCTTAATTGATACGGTTTACAGGCCCAAAAATGGAGCAGTAATACAGTTCCACGAGAAATACGCCTCTATAGCTAAAATTGTAACTTACATAAGATAATAAATTTATGAGTATGAGTATAAGAGTCGTATAACCGGCCCCATTGCCTCATCTCTCCCGAGCCTCCGTTACCGTAGGCCGATTTTTTTCCGCCACCAGCATTGCTGGGTGCATGTCCACCGCGTCCGGTAATTTATTAAACTTAAAATACCTACATGCTTTTATTCTTTAAAAGGTATTTGATTAACATTTTATTTAGTCAAGGTACTTAAATACCTCCACTAAATTTTAAAAACAATTGTCATCATATTTTAAGGTAAAGGAAGTTAATAATATAATATTTCATAAAAAACTTATTTTATTCCTTTTAATAGGTTTTATAAAAATACAAAATATAGAAATTTATTAACATTTAATTTTTAAAATAAACATTTATACACATTAAAAATTATCTAAAACAAAATCTTTTACGCTATGATAGTTTAAAATTTCGTCCTTCAGCAAACACATTTTTTTAATGTATTCATTGTGCACTTTGGTTTGTTTAGATTTATAACGTAGGGCAGTTATGGACTTATCCAGTGTGTAATGAAGCCACAACAAATTAGTAAATGGCTCAAAATGGTACCAATTATCTCTGAAAAAATATATAAATGTCCTATTGAAAAATCAATTGAATTATTGTAGGTCAAAAGTTATTAATATTTTACAATTGCTTTAATCAAACCAATTAATTATTAAAATTTAAATGAAGTTTCCTTATAGCGTCATTTTATAAAATGTGTTAATTAATATATATAATATATATATATATATACTAAGTGACAAAGAAATTGCAACACCCAGAAGGAGGAATAATAATAATGTGTTGGTCCACCGTGATTATCCACTTGGATGGTTAATTTAAAACTAATATTTAAAAATTTGAAATATTAACTTTAGGTATAGGGAATAGTTATATCAATGAAAAGGTATTAAAATTTTATATTTAATTATGTAAAAATATACAGGGCGTTCCATTGAAAATAAAAAAGTTATTGCTGGTTTAAGTTAGCTATATTCACATTGTTTTTTATCAAGTACCTTTTTAGAAATATTACAATAAATTACATGGAATCTTTAAAACAATGCTTCAGGATTCCAATAAATCCAACAGAATATCAGCAAACCTAATATTAAAAAAGTTATAAGCTTTTTTTGTTGAGGGTGAAACTGACCAAATTTTAAAAACAAAATTTATAACTCAAAAGCTAGTTTAGGTATAGGACATGATATGGCCATTTTATAAGTAATGGTAGTAAGAATTTAAAAATGTAAAAAAAAATTGTGATGATCCATTTAAAATAACAAAGTTGATATCGCTTCCGTTAAAACCGGAAATCTTTTGCCGTTCTCCATAAACGTCTAACCTACCATCGACCGTGATACACCCTGTATATGGTGTACTTTTAGTAATAAATAATGAATTATATGATATTATGATATAGAATAAATATCCCAATTAACACATTTTATAAAATGACACTATGTGCAAAGAAATATTATAAATATTAAATTTAAGGTTTGACACTTTTTATAGCATAAGAAAATAAAGCAATTTATAAAAAATCATATTTTTTTCAGATTTATTTGTCAAATAAAATAAGTTTCTTACCCATTCTTCTTCTGCATTTGACGATAAATTTCGAACTGATAATCGCCAGTGGCAGTAAAAAGATCAGGGTCTTGGCTTAGATCATTAAAAATGACGACTCCATCAAACTCAATTCTAGATAGAGTGAAATCAATAATGGCCACCTCAACACCGTGAGTCTCCACTTCCAACACTTTTCCGTCCAGACAAAAATTTTGTTTCTGCCTTTTGTCAACAGTCGTCAGCAAAACATTACCCCAATGAAGGTCCCTGTGCTCAAAATTGAGCTCACTTTCTGCTATTGCTAAGCTTATAGCAACCTAAACGAAAAAATATAAATAATTATTACCTATATGGGAATAACAATTACATAATTATTTTGCAACAATGACAGGCTTATTTTTATTATCAGGTTGGAAAAAGTCACGACTTTTTTCTAATTTAATATAATTTACAAAATACAATATGAAGTTATTCCTTTTATTTGATTAAAATACAGGGTGCTCGAGCGCTTTTAAAAATGCAAAAGTAGTTTTTTCACAAAATAGAGGAAGGCAGAAGTCTTACTAGAAAAAATTTTAAGACTAAAAACTATGTTTTCTATTTAATTAAATTCTTGCGTTAATTTTAAGACACCCTTTATAAATAGCCCCCCATCGCGTGGTATAGTGCGCTATTTTCGGGGGTTTACATGTCATAATAAATTAAATAAAAAATTTAATTAAGGTTTTTTTTTGAAATATTTTCTGAGCTAATAGCCGAGCTTAAAAACTACCGATAATTTTTATGAAAGCGCAGTTGTTATAATTCCACGAGTTTGAAGAACGAGTGAAATTTGTACAACAAGCTTGAATAAAAATTATCTGGCTCATTTTTAAGCACAATGGACCAAAACGTATTTTGAGGTTTTTGGTTTACGATACAAACAAACCGATGTCATAGCAACGTGAAATTTCCACCAGAGGTTATTAATCTATGATTTCCACTTTATAATTTTTGAGTTTTTACTTATTAATTCAGTACATTGTTGCAATGCATAAGCGAAATATTCGTCATAATACTTTTTAACTACCTACTACCCTCCAAAAGTAAATATTTTAACTACGAATTCCTTGACAAATTCAAAGAAACCAATTTTTAAAATTTACAAATCCAGCGAGACACTTTTTGGGTAAGCCAGTCAGATCGCGCCATTTCCATTCGTTTGTGAATTAATTCAAATTCAAAAAAGTCATGAATAAGTTTAAATAAATAAATAAATAAATAAAATACTTTATTTCATCCCAAGAAACATACAGTTTATAGTTTATTAAGTTCATAACATTTTAAACAACAAGGCTTTATAATAATGTTTTTTGTAAAATTTTAGTACGATACAATAAAAATGGTGCGATCTAATTGGATTACCAAAAAGTGCTACATCTCACTTAGTTTTGTGAAATCTTCTTAGAATATCTCAAGGAATTTTTCAAATGAGGGTGTTATAAAATAAAATTTTGGGTTTAAAAAGTAAAATATGTAAAAAATACGGTAAATTGAGGGTTTCAACGCATAATTTCGTATCCGTTTTTTTTAGCAATTAAATAAGAAGTAAATTTGAATTTATTCCTGATTCTCTTGAAAAAAAGTCACCAGATTTAATTCGTGCCCACCCTGTTTATATTTTTAAAAACAATTCTGTGATGGGATACAAGAAGAAAACAAAGGCACAGAAATGCATATGTTGGTGGCGTCACCTAGTGATTATTTTCTTAAAGATTAAATAATCATTAACATAAGTTGCTTGCTTATTATTATTATTATTATTATAAAAGAAGCTCTTCCATAAAAAAATCTTTAAAAGCAAAAAATTCTTATCACAATGTGAGTTCATATATATTTTGATGTTAGCTTGTTTTATTGTATGTTTTATATATTATAGAGAAATAAACTTTAATATGCTTAGAATAAAATTATGTGTCTAGACAAAAAGTTACCTGTTTAAACATTGAAAATGCCTGTAGTGCATTGTTGAAGACGTAGGCCTCCAGATCTTTCCCGCCATTAGCCAGTTCGAGCACAATGTACAATTGATCTTTGTTAAAAATTATAGGCGAATCATTTTCGGAACCCCTAGTCTCTTCGTAAAGATCCCACAGGTCTAGTAATTTTTCGGGGTAGCGCCCTTGGACGCACCGAATTTTTTGCACCTCGGAAAAACCGCTGGTTGAGTTTTTCTTGTTATTGCGCAGATTACTCAGCTCCATTGCAATTATTATTTCAGATATTATTTCCTCGAACTTTTTTTGACGTTCTCCGTTAATTATCTGGTCGCCTTCTATTGGGATAACTTTCATTACCGACGTGCCTCCATTTGGATTTTTGAATAGAAACACTTCGCCATAGACTCCTTCCCCTATTTTCTGACAGTTCTTCAAAAGACTGAAAACAACAAAAACAATTAGGGATTTAAACAAACATTTAATCAATCAACAAACATTTTCATGCCCAAAGTCTAAAATTGACGAGTAAACTTTAGTTCAGAATGAAAACTTTTTTTATTGGTAGGTTTAGAAAAAACATCAAATGTCTGCTTGAAACAAATGATTTTAAATATTAGATTTTCAATTGCCAAATGTCAAAGTGGAACTTTTTGATGTGGAGCATAGTCAGGGCCACCCTAACCACAGGGCTAAATGGGCTATAGCCCCGGGGCGCAACCTTTTGGTGGCGGCAATTTTTATTGATGTTATATTTTTTGTTATTATTATATACTTTTTATTGGAAATTGTTTCAAGAAAAAAAATAAAGGAATAACCTGTTCAGTATTTTAAAATGAACAGCTAAAGGTTTAGTTCAACATCTGAGGATGAAATAAACGCTCAAATAAGAAAAAATACATGAAAAAAATACTCAAACCAGCAATATCAATTTGGAAACAATTTCAAACGTTTTGTAGTGAAAAAGGATACTCTATATCGTCAAAAAATAATCTTTCGAATACCACTCGAGAGATTAATACATCAGAAAATAATTCTCCAGAAAATTTGTTATAAAGTTATAAAGTGCTCTTTTAGTTCCACCCTTACATCCAAACTAAGATGTCCCATAAGCCAACTGAATGGCTTGTGCGGGTTAGGGGTAGGAACGGACCGACGGCTTAAAGTCCCCTCCGAAGGACTATATACAATGGACAAACACAAATAAACAACCATACCCAAGTGGGATTCGAACCCACGACCTCTCGGCTCGTACCCAGGAGCTCTAACCACTACACCACCGAGGCCGGCAATATACACTCAGCCCTACAAGCTCTCATGGCTATTGCCAGACAACAAGCTTTTGAAATATCTGTCAAATTATTTTCAATTTATTTTTACTCTCTTGTGATATTACTGTTGAAAATATTATATGCATGCATCAATAAAATACGTTCGGTTTTGGTTGTGTTCGCGCCAGTTTTCTATTGTCAGCGCCAGCAATATATGTTTCTTCGTTGGGACAAAGCAAATTAAATAATTTGAGTATTTAATCCATAGAATGACTTAAAGACAAAAACATCTGTGATATTATTAATTTTGCAAAAGAAAGCTATGAAAATAAATAAATACGTTGCTTTTGTTTTTCGTTAACTATAAATTTTGATTTTGTTCATATCGTTTTTTAATTTTGTATAAATTTTATGTTTTTATTTAGTGTAAAGATAATAAATAAACTTTTTCTAGTTCTGACACTTAGGTACATCAAAAATAACATTTTAATTTCTTTGATTTAAATTTTAATGCCAGTATTTTTAAAAAATGTGAATTATTGTCCTAAAATTACAATGTAAAATAGGTAGTTACTGGATTTGTGATGGCTGTTTAGGGTATACCTACTAATGATTATGATATATTATTAAATAAACAAAATTCCATTAAAAATATTAAAATATTTTTATGGAATAAAAAAAACTCAGACATTTTTTAAAATGATTGAATTAATTTATCTAATCATTTATTCTTAAAATTCAAAGTAAACAAAATTTAAAAACATTCAAATTTGTTTTTCAATGTTATATATTTTCCAGTTATAAGTGAATTAAAGTCATAAAAATAAACTTCCAACGAGCTCAACATAATAAAAGTAATAAACTAATTGTAAAATCAATAGTGACTTTGTTTTGTAAAGATGACAGAGATAAATAAAATTCAAGGATAATATAATTGAAAAATTAATGCAATATTTTTTTATTAATTACTTTGTTTTGTTTTTAAATAATATTTAATTAAAAGAAAATATTTATTTATATTTATTTACATGTATTACATTTATATTTATAAAGAATTTAGTTGTTAATAAATAGTTTAAAAATAGATTTTTTAATATTAAAAATACGTTTTATGGAAAACAATTTTATAAAAAAATATTCAATGCAGATGTATTGTATCATAAGTGATATTTGTAAATTTGTTCCATAAATATTATAAATTAAAAATACTTGTTTTTAAAAAATACTTATAGATTTTTGGCAAGTCAAAATATTATTACCAATTTAAGTTCAATAATGATAAAACCCGTATATTATTCATACTTTTAAGAGAAAATTGTATACATCAGGACATACAAGTTTAAAAGAATGCTTGATATTATCTCGAGTTCATATTAATTAATGGGATCATTATTAGCATAAATCGAAAATTATATGTGGTAACACGTAAAAGAACAAGAGCGTAGTGAAATTTCGTAACAAAACCGTTACGTGGACTGCTACACCTGCTAAGAAAGTGAACGGTCCTAGAAAGTATTGAGCAACAAAATACATTGTAGTTAATACAACAAACCTACTGCGGCAAAAATTAATGTTAACTTTAGACATTAATTTCGTTATTGTTATTTTGTAATGACATTTAAATGTAGTTACTTGGTAAAATAGTTTGTTGTTTTTTTCAGGTAAGTAGGCTTGTTTAGGATGCAGTGTTGCCAGATGACGAAAACAATAAATCATTCAAAAAGCCTATAAAAATATATTAAATTGTAAATGGATGCTATATTACATTTTTTTTGTAGTTCTTTGGAGTTTCCATAGAATGTCTTTAAAATTTAATATATGGTTTTGTGAGGCATCAAACACATTCACAAATAATTTTAATTCTCATAAAGCACAGATTCCAAGAATAGTATATTCTGTAATAAGATTGGAATACGGCATATTCCGCTAGAGTGAAAAGTTTGTCACACGAGCTGAAGGCGAGTTTGACGGTTTCACGAGAGCGGAATATGCAATTCCAAATTTGTTTCCGACTATACTTTTTTACGTTTCCAAAAGTAAGGTTGTGTCGCCACCATTCTGTCATCCGATTGTAGAATAATTCATTCAGTAACTCTTTAAAGAATATATGTAATTCCAAATTAAAAAGGGATGTTAGAACGGTCATATTCCGTAATACAAGTAGAAAAAATAATTCCACAGTGTGTTTTGTATCTCATGAGATTGCTTATGAGATTCCCTATACTATAATAACCAATTTTTGAACGGGACAGTTTGTAAAAAATTAATTTGTAATTAATACAGTGCTTGTTTAAAAAAAATAATCGAACATGCCGACAAATTAACAATTTATATTGTTACTTATTTACTTTTATGTTGTTTTTATTTTTTAATGATATGTTAATTTGTAGTAGTAGTAATTTCTTATTAAAAATACAATATTTACTAGGTACCTACATGCATTTGTTATCACAGCCCAGTGTTATTTATTTATTAAACTCTTTTTAAATGGAAATACTACCTTAATAAAAATTCCCTGCAGATTTTTTTGTTAAATATTGGCTTTTTCTGGGAGAAATTGAAATTTATTAAGTAGCACATGAAATTTGGTTAACAAATATTGATATTATAGCATTTATAAATTATATAGTCTATACAGATACCTAGATACTCTGCAGAGTTAAGGTGGATTCATGCAAGCATGTCTTAAATTAACTTAACTTAACTTTGTACCAATCTTGTACTAATCTTTATCCCATGAAAATGAACCGTTCATACATGTACTCTTATCTTAAGGATTTTACATATTTTACATATAAAAATATAAAACAAACCCACAAAATACTAAATTTTCAAAAATGTAAATACAATAAAAGTAGCTACATTAGACTATGAAGTTGGCTACATTACCAGTACATGCGCATTTGCCTATTTTTATTAAGAACTTAGGACATAAGGATCTTAAAGATAAAAGTAAACCAACTTTTCTTAGGATAAGGATTCAAATTAAGTTAGGTTAAGACGAATTTAAATTGCATGAACGGTTCCGCTCATTATTATAGTTTTATCTCTTTAAGACCAAGTTAGTATTGAGACATGCTTGAATGAATCCACGGTTAAAATTAATTCTATAATAAATATTTGTTTTGCTCCTCTAGGACGCTACATTACTTATTTACACGCTGTATATTGCTCCAAAAGAAAAAACCCTCTTATTTTATTATTACTTTGACAAAATGGTAAAATTGATATTTTAACAGTAATCTATAAAGACAAATGGTGCAATCTGGCAACAGTGCAGCAGCGCCCATGTTTGAAAAGCATGTCACATTAAAATAAATAGCAATGGAGGCTTACCTTTCCGGATAGCATTTTTCGAATGGCAGAGGCTCTGTTTGTCCGCATCTTCGTAAAACGACCTCTTTGGCGGTGACGACGGCGGCAATAGACTTTGTTAGTAGCGGTTTGCGCTGTTGTTGCTGATTTATCGATAATTTTCGAACGCTGTTTTCCAAATGGCTGTCGACGAAATCTTGTACTGACACATAACCTGGTGGTAGAGTATCATGTGTTGTGTAGCACATACGATTATTTGAATGAATGTGACGGAGAACTTCCCCAAGCAGATGCATGCAATGCCCTAGATTTCGCGAATGTACCCTTAACGAGGACACCAACTGACTGACTGAACGGCTTCGAAAGCTACAGAGACGCAATTAAAAACTCTGACCCGACACACACGTGAGTCACCCAGCCAAACTACGAAACCTTGAGAAACGACGACGCGCCACGAACCTGGCCCAAGCTCAACGGACGCAGGCGTCACGTGCTCGACCTACTCAGCTCGTGATTGGCCGGCGCTCGACCTAGGAAGTCATTCAAACTATTGCTCGCGTCTGCCTGGGAGAAAGGAACAAAAGAAATTCTACGAAATTTGATGATTAAACAGATTATTTTATAGAAATTTACCAATATTGTGTAAACTCCTAATTACTATTTTATAGATATTTCTCGTACATTTACAGGACATAGGTACATTAAAATAAAATTAAAGATATTATAAAATGATTACGAATCCTTACTAATTTTAAATAAGAACTTATAGGATATAGGTATATGGTAATTTCAAAGTTATGTTTAATACCTAAATAAAAAATTGGATTTATTATAAAATTGTTTGTTAAATGTCAAGATTTTATCTTCAGTACACGATACCTATATAAAACTTCTACAATTATAATGATAATTGTTAAAAGTAGAAGTGATGTTAGATCTAAGAATGTTTATCTCCACGCGGTCTATAATTTAAACTTTATTGTTGTCAACATTCGATAAAGAAATACCTTGTTATGGCCTAGGCCGATAAAAATTTGTATGAGGCAAGCAATTAGTTCGATTTTTTCTCGCTAGGGGTATTGTTTTGACAAATTAATCCTTTTCTAAGAAATTAGCGTACTAAACTGGTTTAATTTATTTATAATAAGCACTAATTTGTTTGTTTTACTGTTAATGTTTAATATTTTTCATTAAATTATTGTAAAATTTAATATGAATAATAAAACAAAAAGTGAGGTTAGGCAACTAATAAAACAAAAAGTGAGGTTAGGCAACTAAGAAAACGCACGATTCTTTTTCTACGATTTAAATTGCTTTAAGTTTTCAGTAAAATTAATGTCAAACAGCTTAAACATTCAAAACTACCTATTTTTTAAATAAAAATCTAAACAAATTAAAATTAGATACCTACCTACCTATTTATTAAACAATTAATTGAATTCAATGTAATAGCAAAAATCCATTTCTACTTAAATCATGTTGCTAGGTATTGTCAAACTATTACTGCTTCTAAAAGCTATAATATTTATTGTACATTTAATGTAATCTTTAGCTAATAAATAAATGAGATTCTAAAAAAGTGAGGTTAGGCCGCTTTGATGTTGAATTAAATTGATCTATATAAAGTGCTTTGAAGATAAAATGTTGTATGCCATTCGTCCAAGAAGTGCCTTTTTGTGCTTCGCCCAATTGTAGGCCTCCGCTACGCGTCGGCCTTCAAACCTTGAGCTTAGTACAAAAAGCCTTACTTCTTAGAGCCGTTTCACATGCGACTGATAAAGTCCTGACGATCAGTCCTGATGATACGGACTGACGGTCATGGCCATTGTTTCACAAGCAACGTATAGTACGGAAATGTCTACTACGAGACGGTTCTCAGCGCCTCCAGAACTGCGCTGTTGACGCTTTTTGTATAAGGAAAATAATACAACGCAAAATTTTAAAAGTTCTTTTTTGCTTCCGCAAAATTTTCAAAACCCGGAACTACTATTTTTGCTACTTCTTCAAATTCTTTGTTCTTTGCATCCCTTTTTTTGTAGTTCTCATCATCTGCATACCAGATGCATCTTCGCTGTTCGATGCTACTTATTACAATTTCTGTATCAATGCGTAAACTACTTATTGTGCAACACTGTTTCTGCTGACCGTACGTACCATATGAAATACTCCATATAACTAACAGCCCTTAATAGTCCTGACGGTACGCAGTGCGCACGGGCTGTCCCGATGCCCGTGCCGACGAATCAGTCAACCGATAATACGCAGTGCATGTGAAAAAGTTCATTTAAACAATGGCCCCTAGTCATCAGGACTGACCATCAGGACTGATCGTCAGGACTTTATCAGTCGCATGTGAAACGGCTCTTAACCAAATGTCAGTCGGATACATATCCATTTTATAAAGTAAGAAGACATCTCAAAATTTAAACATTAATTTGCAAAAAACAATTTGATAGCTTTTGAAAGCCGTGTATGACATGTCCAAGTATGGGATGATTCAACAAAACTGTCACTGTCATTCTCCATAGCCTATGGATGGACCATAGCAACCTTAGTTCTTCATACAGAAAAATATTGGAAATTGCAATGTTTTTTAAAAAAATCCATATTTTCCACAAAAATAAATATATCGAGGTGAACCAAAAACAAAACTGTTATGGTAAAAATCATCTTTTTGTTCTGTATATTATAAACGTACGTCTATTTTTTAGTATTTTTTTAAAATGTGAGCGATTGTACATTGATTTATCTACAATATTCTTTAATATTCGTTTAAATCCGACATCAAATAAAAAAGTTATTTGCGATTGAAATTTGTGTGGATCGATTATTTTGCACGTGAGTGTAGTTGAAAGGTGTGGACGGGACAAAAAAAGATTTATTTTGATGCAAAAATAATATATAATAAATTATCTACAATTTTACTTAAAAGAATTGTTTTGTGATTTGTCCCGTCCGTATGCTTGAAATGGCCGTAATGTAAACTTTATTGTTGTGTTGACAACAACGGTTAAATTATAAACAATTACACTGTAGGGAGGTGAAAATATCACAGCTAAACACTCGGACACGTAAACATTATTTTTGGTCGTAGATTACAAATCCATGCTTGGTTTAGCTGTATCAGGTCAAAATTCAAAGGTATTTCCAATATCTTTGAATTGACGCGTCAGTTCCAAATTTAAAAAAAAACAAATTCTTGCAAAATTTAAAGTTAATTGATCAAAAGGAACACATGACACGTGTCACGTGTCCCTGAGGGTTTTTTATATATAATTTAGAAAATTCAAAATGTTTTTGCTATTTTTATATTATTGAGTATAATTGAGGAAATTATATTAATTGAAAAATTCCAAAACTTATCATTTTTTGTAAAAGTGTTATTAATTCCAAAACTTATCATTTAATAAATATTATTTATTAGATATAAAATACTCGGAATATCGTAATTTGGCAATCTCTTTTATTAAAATTAATACTTTGCTAAAAATATAGATAGCTGACCCCAAAAAAAAATTACTTTTATTTTAAATAATAATATTTTAAATTGCGCAACATTGCATATTTAACCTATATTTAAATTATAGCGACCATAATGTTTATAAAATACTAAAAAAATAATTAGTATTGTTTTAATCTTTTAAAATGTATTATTCATGTTCTTTGTGCGATATTAGCTTTGTTCGCGGAGCCCATCCATGACTAGTTCCGTATCTGTATAGGGTAAATAATCACGAACCATGGTACGCATGCGCGATTCGGAACCGATCAAGAATTAATAAATCTCCGCGAACGCGTTTCTAACCGCAACCATCAGTCAGCTGTTTTGTGACAAAACTTTTTGGGGAATCTCCTTCCTGATAATTATAGTATTCAGAATTGCTAAATCGCTCTGCTAAATCATCAACAATCTCTTTGCTAACTCGAAAATGCTCCCTAAATAGCTGATCATCGAACATGGAAACAATTTCTTCAAAATATGCAGTATTTTTAGGAACTTCAATTAAATCTAAACTATTTTCTAAATCTTCATCACTGGATGATAGATGATCACTCATCTATAAAATAAGCAAGGAAATGAACAATGCAAGTAAAAAATAAGTATTTCAACTTACGTTTTCGTTTAACAATTTAATTAAAAACAATATAGAACATATAACCTAAAATAAACTTTAAACAATAATGAACAATACGCATGTCTGACAGCTAGTACATGCTAAAATCCTCGGATCGTTTTGACTTGTCAGTAATTAGTTCGAAACTGGTCCCGAAGGCTCCGCGAACGAGTGATCAAATGTCAAATGTTGCCGATTTTTACACCGCGAACGCTAAAATTGCCAGTGCGCATGCGCAGTTGTCGCGGATTGATCACGGATGAGCTCCGCGAACAAAGCTATTAGCATTATTTTTAGAAAACAATGGTGTTAACAATTGAAGAGCTTAGTGGATAAACATGTTAAGTGACATTTTCATATACAAGGTGTCCCTAAACTTATTGGCATAAATTAAGGAAAAGATTGAGCAAGTCAAAATAAGACGAAAACCTAAATAAATATTTTTCCTTATTACTTTTGTTTCCAAGATACAGGGTGATAAAGTGTTACTTATTATATCAGTTTTTTTAATATAACTTTTACTATGGTAGTCTTGGAAAGCTGATATTTTGCGAACAGTCACTTACTACCAAAACACATATTCACACATAATTACAATTGTTTGAGTGAACACAGTGTCGTAGAAACGGCGGTTGATTTAAGCTTATTGTCCCAAACAAACTTTGAGGTTATGTTTTTATAACATTTAATGCAATTTTTCGATTACACAGTTCGGCTACCATTAAAAAGGTGTACCTCTCAAACTTCGATAAAATAAACCGTTTCCGAGATATTCGAGATTACAATAATTGTTATATCGCATTATTATTATAGGATTAAAAGGTATATGATATCAAATTTTATTTTTTAATTGAAAAAACTAAAAAGGGCATTCCATGAGCCTCGGGACTTTTTGCCCTGACCGTCACATTAAAAAAATTTGTAGTTTTTCAATTAAAAAATTTGTTATCATATACCTTTTAGTCCTTTAATGCGATATAACAATTATTGTAATCTCGAATATCTCTGAAACGGTTTATTTTATCGAAGTTTGAGAGGTACACCTTTTTAATAGCAGCCGAACTGAGTATTCGAAAAATTGCATCAAATGGTAAAAAAACCTAACCTCAAAGTTTGTATTGGGACAATAAGCTAAAGCAACCCCTGTTTCTACGACACTGTCTTCACTCGAACAATTGGACGGCTTTCTGCAGAATGGGACCAACCCACACCATGATGAAACTGAGAAAAAAGCTATCAAAGATTTTAATAATTTTAAAATTACCTGTTAATTTTATGCCGATTTTGGACTTACGGAGGTTTAAGGGATATAATTTAATAATTTCATCAGGTGGATTTTGTGATGTTATGTGTAAGGGTGACGAAAAAAATGGGCTTTTGTTGGTTGGTTCCTTTCTGCAATTTATGAAAACTACTATCTGATGTATGTATGTATTTAAAGAAAAGCGACAATTATTTATTTCCAAACAAAATACAACTGATATTACTATTATAATGGTAATATGAATTAATTTTGATTCTATTTGAAATTCGTCCACATTATCTTCCAACCCCACCTCATCTTGTAAGCTACCAAAAAAATGCATCAAGACTTTATATTTTGCAGAAGCAGGAAATCTATAAAGACTTTGGTAGTGGGCCTACCAGCCTGCTTTTTTACAAAAAAGATCCAACCCACTTGCAGATATTCTACAGATTCTAATTCTGGATTAGTAATCCACACTATTATTGAATGTTGGTTGGTTCAATGATTAATAGATTTCACCACACTTGCATTTTGGCTATGACCTATTTTGCAGATAAATTATATATACTTAATTAGTTCATAGGCTAAATATCTCGATTTTTTTGGTTTTGTGGGTTGGTTCCTTTCTGCAGAAAGGCGTCCAATTGTAATTATGTGTAATGTAAATATGTGTTTTGGTAGGAAGTGACTGTTCGCAAAATGTCACCTTTCCAAGTCTACCATAGGGCGATTGCACGCGTTACTGATGGGACAATCGGAAAAAATTTTAACTATTTTTTGATATTTGTTGCTATTAGTAATGGGCTAATGACGGTAATATTTGGGTAACTATTAAAGCTAGAGTTTGTGTAAAATTTTCAGTATCAGAGCTATTAAAATGTTTTTTATTTTACGAACTAGAAATCAATAAAATGTTGTTACTGATGGGACAAGAAAAAGGTCAAACAAATTTCTGGTTACTAGAAGAGAATAATTCTCTGAAACAGAATATTGTTGAAGAAAAGTATAGATGAACCAAGTTGCAGATGCAGTTAGTATAACTTATTTTGACATCACTCATCTTTCAGTGTAATCTATGTAGGCAATGCATTTTGATTTCTCGTTACTGACGGGACATTACTGATGGGACATTTATTATTATTATTTATTATACACTGAAACAAATGTGTAATTGGTTAATTTAACTAAATAACTTCAACAATAATTTTAACATGGTAATAACAACTGCAAAAAATTTAAAAGCATTTAAACAAATTTGATTTTTCGGATTCATAGTGCTTCTTAATCAACATAGGAGTACCATCAACAAACTTAAAATAGTGTGAACTTAATATATCGGGTATTGCTGAAACACCTGACCATTTGGCATCTTATTGTGTCTTGATTTGTTCAATTTCCTCATTCTTTACGTATATATTAGTAATGTTTTTCAGAACTCTACTTATATCCTCTTTGAGATAAAAACTTTTCACTTTTTCACCTATTTCTGGGGACAATTTGTTCCACGGATTCATTGTTGTTATTATTTCTGTCTTTGCTATATTCTGAACTTTTAAGTTCGGATCTAATGATTCTAATATTTTTGTCAAAACACAAATTTTTTTGTTTTTTTCTTTTGGCATCATCGTGTCTGCCCTTCTTACAGCTTTTCCTATTAAAGTTTTTGGAGTTTTGAAGGGTATATTCTTAACAGTTTGGTGCTTTTTATTTTCTCTAAACTTTATTTTCCTTTCTCTTTCATTAATTTTTTGCTGCATTTTAAACGCACCATCATTTTCCGCCAACTTTTTTAATTTTTCTCTGTACTTTGCGCTTGAAGCATTTTTAGACAGGTAAGTCTTTTTTAAAACAGGATTTTCATAAATTTTTTTGCGATATTTTCTTTGTCAAGCACGTTTTTTCTTGCCATCCTAAAAATTATCACATTTCGTTACTGACGGGACTAACTTAAGAAAAAAGAAATACAAAAATCTGGGACAGCAAACCAATATATTTTTATCGCGTAAGCAAATGTGGCATAGGGACAAACATTTTTAATATTAATTAAAAACTGGGCAAGTTGCATACTTGCGATATTAAAACTTATTATATAATTTCGTTACTGATGGGACAAATGTACAATAATATTATAAATTAAAATTTGTAGAACAGTTTACTTACTTGCAAAAAAAATATTCAGTAATATTTTCACTAATAGTGGGGTCTAATCAAAACTGACGTTTTCGGAAGCGTCACTTACTGTTATAGGTCAAGGCCACCTCGATAAAAATGCTACTTTGCATATAAATTTTAACATCGGAAAATCGCTTATTTTTGACCATATTTTTTTTAAATAATAAGTACCTGAGATAAACATTTTTAGTTTTTTCAACTAATTTCATTATTAACGAATAACTTTAGTATATTTTTGTTTCATTGTGCCCTGCTTAAAACTGATGGAAAAAATTACATTGCGCGTGCAATCGCCCCATAGTAGAAGTTATATTAAAAAAACTGATATGATAAGTAACCCTTTATCACCCTGTATCTTTTAAACATACGTAATTAGGAAAAATATTTATTTAGATTTTCGTCTTATTTTGACTTGCTTAATCTGCTCCTAAATTTATGCCACCAAGTTTAGGGACACCTTGTATATTATCACTTAATACGAAAATATGATTTAATATGTTCATCCACTAGCTTTTCAATTGTCATCATATTTTAAACCAATTTCGTGAACAAACGAACAAAAAACGTATTAAATAAGTACGAATTACGTGCATGCACAAATGCATTTACAACAATTTTTACATGTTTTCAATTTTTTTTTAAATTCTTCCATAGATCAAACCGAAAACTGCATTTTAAAATAGTAAAAGACAAAAAACATGTATTTATAGTTTTATAGTGTTATAATAATATGCATACTATTTTAAAATAAAAGGTTTTGCTTTGAAACGAATCAAACTAATATCACTGCAAAATTATTAATAAATATTATGCAATTATTTTAATTTAAAAGTTTTTTTAAAGTAGTGTATATTTGTTAATTATTTAAAAACATTTAGTAACATTTTCCCAATATCCTAGTAGTAAAATAAATATAATACTTACTTGCATGGGCATATTTTTCTAAAATCGAATTTCTACCGGAAACATTTGTGGAAACTGCAACCACTCTAATGGAACTCCTTCTGTTCGGCGAAGCCTGGGATAATTTTGAAATGTGATCTTTATCGTTTATTAACGTAGATTCTAAAAAAATAATTTATTAGTTTTAGTTACTATGTTTTATTACCCTACTCGTTCACCCAAAAAATAGTATTCATATTTAAAATCTGCACTTATAAACAGAAAATAAATGAACATTAATTATTATTCACAGATAATTTTGTATAATAATAATGGTAAATGACGGATATATTGACATAAAATACAACTATCAAATTTGAAATCTAAGCATACTTTGTCTTATAGGAATATCTTTTAATAATATTATGATAGTATATTATTATACCAGAGATAATGCAGGCTATTATTCACAAGGATAAGGTTTGTATTTCTGTTCAATTTTACTAACAGTAGAACGAGTAATAGGTCGAGCTGTATACTTTGCATTAAACAAATCCTACAAGAATTAAAACTTCAATTCGCTGTGTTTCTGCCATACTTAAAAAGATTTAAAAACACTCGACTAAAAGTTTGTACCTGTAGTAGCCAATTTTTGTTTAAAACCTCACACCAACAAAAAAATATATCGACACCTGCTGTTTGTAAAAAAAAAACAACTATAAATTTTTTACTTTTAAAAATTAATATCTCCGAAACTATCAGCCCACACCCAAGTAGCATTTATAGTTGTTAAAACGTGTTGGCCACTTATACTTGGAACTGTAAAGTATATTGCCAAAATCTCTGCCACGTGGTAGAAACGGTTCTATTACGTGGAAGTGACTAAAATGGGGAACACTTTTTTAGTGTCAGTTACGTTCCAAAACGTTATGGAATTGTATACAGACACGTTAATACCACGTTGTGATTACGTTACTATAACGTGAAGGTATAGTGGCCAAAACTTAATCGTAACTTTACTAATCTTTACTTTCTATCCCCGTCTCTTTTCAGCATATTATTTATCTCATTATCTTTGCTTTCTCTGACTGGATATTAAACCAACACTGAATTATAATATTGTAAGAGTAAAACTTGCAAATAATAACTGGAATTAAAATAATCCAAAGACATAACATTAACACGAATTAAATTTTACTGTTAAACACGCCCGGACAACATTCGTGATATTCATACGAACATCACGTCGTGATTTTCACAAATTTTATTCATACCGATATCATACGGAAGTCACCGCGTAATAAATGAAAATCATACGAACGTCACGTCGTGATTTTCACAAATTTTATTCATACGGACATCATCCGGATGTCACTGCGTGAGAAATGAAAATCATGTTGTGATTTTTTATGCCATCGCTGTTTGCGATTGACCGATGGCACAAAAAATCATGTCGTGATACTTTTTCTTTCAATGTACGAATGGGTCGCAAAAATGAATATCCAAACACCGACGCGTCGGCATAAAAAATCATGTCGTGATTTTTTATGACCAAACACCGATGGCATAAAAAATCATGTCGTGATTTTTTATGCCATCGGTGTTTGGATATTTATTTTTGCGCCACATTCGTACATTGAGAGAAAAAGTATACCTACATATATATTGAATCAACAGTTTTGCTGAATTTATGCAGCACAAATTAACATTAAGTTAACATTAAGATTAAGATTAACATTAACATTAAGAAGTTAAATGAACGTAATCCATTGGAAGCTTTTATGCAACACATAAACATTAACTTTAGCATTAAGTTAACATTAAGAGATGGCCAACTTTTATCTTCTTAATGATAATGTTAATTTTTATTCCTCCTGCGCAGGTTTGCGGCGCAATTTTTAAATAAACCGTGTCAGTAATGCCAACATACCCGAAAATAAAATGAAACTTACTGCTCAATGATTGATTTTTTATTCAATGATTGTGTTCTTTGGTTTATTGTTTGACGTGGAGTTTATAGTTTTCATTTATTTTACTTAACAGATGCTAAAACGGAATTAAAACAAAATTCAAACAAACCAAAAATGTCAGATGTCAAAATTACTTTAACTTATATGCATGCTTAATTTGCTACTAATTTTGCTGCATAAATACCCTCCTAGTAATGTTAAATTAATCTTAATCTTAATGTTAATGTTAAAGTTAATCTTAATGTCCACCATTTTTGTGGTTAAATACATTCAAATTTTTTTTGGATTTAAATTAATAGTTAATTTACATCCAAGAAAATATTAAATGTATTTAACCGCAAAAACTGTTAATTCAATTGTTAATTATGAATGTTAACATTCATTTTATCACAATGTACGAATGTGGCGCAAAAATAAATATGCAAACATGTCATAAAAAATCATGTCGTGATTTTTTATGCCCAAACAACGATAGCATAAAAAATCATGTCGTGATTTTTTATGCCATCCGTGTTTAGATATTTATTTTGCGCCACATTCGTACATTGAAAGAAAAAGTATACGGCCATTCCACGCGTAACGGATGGGACAGTTGTAAGTTTTTATTTACAAAATAACATTGTTCTATTATATTACTAATATCAAATTTTTATAAATAGTTCTAAACAAAAGCTGTTTAACCCTTAGGCAGGCGCACCTCTTTATGCAACGTAGTAGGTCGCGCGGGGTGTCAGAGACACCCCTGATGGCAAAGCGTCCCTGCGTGTTATTTACATTTTTTTGTTTTTTATTTCAAAGTTATCAAGTTAAGATGAGCTTAGAGACAATGAGAACATATTTCGTTGCGTTCAAATTTGATAAAAGATGACAATTTTAATAAAATAAAGCATTTATTTAAAAAACACAAATTTTAAAAGTCATAATAATAATAAAAACCAAAAAAAACACTAAGCACATAAGATAAGGTTTACTTTTACAAGTAATTATGATTTGGTAAAGAAAAGTCAATAGGGAGGCGAAACCCAGCCTGCTCAAAGTCACTCAATTTCGATACTAGAATTTACTATGGAATCAAAGCTTTCTTTACAAACATTTTTCCTGTGCTTCATGTACATGTTTTTGGCACACCTTCTACTTTTTGCAAAAAGGCATGCCTTGGACAAATTACACATCTGCCCTTCTTTACCGGCAACTGATAATTTGAAAATTATTAGGCGAAGAAATTTTGGCAAATTTTTATTTGTTGTTTACATAAAATATTAGAACGAACGGAAACAAGCAAAACATAACGCAATGCTTTTAAGATAAAAATAAATATTTTGTCGTGCTTTCCAATTACTTTTTTACAGGGTATAACCTTATTTAATGTGAAGTAATAACAAAAGTTGAAAAAATCAGCTTAACAAATTAATGCAAAATAATTGTACGTGGAAAGGCGCACGGGGTGTCCACAGCACCCAGAGCCTGTTTGAAACAAAATATCAGACAACCTATTACATTAACTTCGAAATCGGCAATATAATATGACTGACAATACTTTGACAGGAAGGTACTGAAAGTAAGCGCCATTTATTCGAAACGAAGTGAGACCGGTAGCTATATTTAGGAAGCTGGGGTGTTTTGTACACCCCGCGTGCCTGCTTAAGGGTTAACAAGGTTTTTATTTGGCAAAATTAGGTATTGTGGTTGGCTGTTTAATTCCTTAAAAATTATTTTTTTTTATTCAAAGTACTGTTTTTGAATAAAAAAAAATATTTTTTAATTAATTAAACAGACAACTACGATACTTAATTTTTGCCAAATAAAAACCTTGTTGAACAACTTTTGTTTAGAACTATTTATAAAAATTTGACATTAGTAATATAATAGAACAATATTATTTTGTAAATAAAAACTTGCAACTGTCCCATCCGTTACGCGTGGAATGGTATATCTTTTTTAATTGAACTCGGACAACATTCGTGATATTCAAACAAAATTTTATAAATTATAACGGTGTAATGTGAATAACAATCTAGGTTTTAAATTCGCAGTTCGCAGGGCTCATACGCATGCGCAAATTTTGCAAATATCACACTGTGAGTTCTACATGATATCACTGTGATGAAGCATGTGTATGCACTCAGGATATCAAAGCGTGATAAAAAAAATCCCGTTATGATATCATCATGACTTCACCAGGAAATCCCGATTGTTGTCCGGGCGGTTAAACATGAGTTTCATAGCTTGAAATATAAGCACGCCCTGTTGAAATATGTGGTAATAAAAAAGAATAAAAAAATCCATAAACTTGGCGGGTATGAAAATTACTTATCTAGAGGACTAAAATAATTTTTTTATTATTTCTGGTCACCTGAAACCAATAAATATGTATTAACGTGTTAATACAGGGTGTTTACGGTCTAGGGGTCGAAAATTGAACCGGCGGTGTAAGGTAATAAAGTAATGGTAGATTTGTTGGAATTTTGAAAAAAAAATCAATTATAAAAAAGTTATTAAAATTTAAATTTATTCAAAGTTTTGATACAACTTTTGAGGGTCATTGGTTTGATACGGGTGGAGACTTAAATAAAAAAACTGACAACAAAACGTTTCTTAAACAATAAAGAATAATGTCATGGATTTGAATACTTCAAAAAAAACTTTCTAATTCCGTCAAAAAACTGAATTAATTTTGAAATGGCTCATGTTTATTCTAATAACGAATTAGTGGATTTGATAATGGTGTACGGGGAAGCACAAGGTAATGCTGAAGAAGCAAGTCGAATTTACGCTAATAAATTCCCAAATCGCTTTCACCCCGCGCCTCGGAGATTTTTTAACGTAACGCAGCGAGCCCGCGATACCGGGGAGCTCCAACCCCATTATGGTCGTGATGGGGGCCCTGATAGGTTGCAAAGAATTTTGAACGCAGATGTTGTTGTTATGTAATGTAATACATTTATTTCCCTACAATGGCGATTATTTGTAAACATGTCTGCTTTTGAAGAAGAGAGCTTTAAAGTGGTAATTTTATACGAAACGTGGAAATGTAGCAAGAAAATGGCAATCACCACCGAAATTATATAATCAAGTTTTGCCACATTCAAGGTTTGGGAAAAGTTCCGAAAACGTTGTCAAAACTGATATACCCACTTTACTACTACTACCACTTCAAAGTAATACTTAAGTGATGTGATTTGGTTACAGTTACTATTCATAATCCACTCTAAA